CTTTTTAGCTGTAGGTTTGTCATATAAGCTTTTATCATGTAGAAGTATGTTCCATCTATACCTACTTTGTTGAGAGTTGCCTTTGCATGGGGTTGGTGCATACTGATTGCTTGAGATCTTGAAGATAGATAAATCTCCAAACAAGAAAGAAATGATTGGTAAACACTCATTTGCGCTGTAAGGACTGTTGAGGATCATTTACTTTGGCTTAACTAGTAAAGCATATCTTATGTATGATTTCTCAGAATTAAATATTGTTTTAACATAGGGTATCCAGCTCTATTTTACATGGTTGTCTACTTGTTAGTTTATAATATTTCACTGATTGTTTTATAGTTCCCATTTGTGGCATTTTAATTTTTTTGATAATTCTGTTTGTAAAAATTAGCCATTTTTCATGATTTGCAAATAAGATAAAACAATGAATAAAAAACTTTTGTGACATACATATTTTGTCTAGATTAAATTTAGGTTTTCTATCAGTAGATTATAGACATTTTACATAATTTAGGTCAAAATTCTGGTCTTTTGGACAAAATTTAACCAGTATTATGGAAAAATGGATATCAGGTACATACGAGAAAAATTATGACTTTTTCAATGCAAAATAAATTTTTAAAAGGAACTACAAAACAAAATACAGAACTATGTTTAACACTAGATTAAGAAACTTCCTCATTTTCTATGTTAAAATGCCTGAGGGCACTAATCTTCCTTATCTTAGTGCCCATAGCACTGAGTCTATCAACAAAGTTTGATAATCTTTCATATGCATTTTTCCCCTCAAAGTTTGTAATGCATTTTTCCCCTCAAAGTGTCTGCATAAATCTTACTACTCTATCCTAATCAGATTGTAAACAGAAAACCAGGAATGCTTTGTATTTTTCTTTAGAGTGCAGTGCCCGTAGTAGTTATTCAAATCAATACTGATTAAATATTGTTTGCCTATTACAAGTGTTGCAGCATATTAATACAGACAAACCTGGGCCTTGAGTCCTGTGTCCCCTACTTAGCAGTCTGTGTGGTCTTGAGTAAGTCACAACTTTGCTAAGTTGCCATTTTCTCATCTGTAAAATGGGGATAATAGTTTGCCTCATAAAGGCAGTGTGACGTTAGTCTAAAAGCTTTGAAAATAAAAGATGGGTCTAGTTTGCAATATTTCTATTTCATATAAACTTAATGTGCTTTCAGGTTAACTTTTTTTGTGTGCCTATAACTGCACTTATCATTCATGAATAGCTAAACAAAAAAGTCTGAGCCACCCATGAAGGTGGCAAAGCGAAATATGAAAAACAAAGCCACCTCAGAACCACCCAAAATTTCACTCACAGCCTCACTTATGGTTAAGTCAGGATTAAAATTTGTTTTTTAATCCTCACCTGAGGTTATTTTTTCCATTACTTTTCAGAGAGAGTGGAAAGAAACATTGATGTGAGAGAGACACTTGGTCGGGGATTAAGCCTGCAACCCCTATGACCAAAGCTGAACCTGAGACCCATCAGTCCATAGGCCAATGCTCTAACCACTGAGCAAAACTGGCTAGGGCTAAATCAGGATTTTAGAAGTAAATTATGAACCACAAAAGGGACTGAGACCTCAAACTAACCAGTGTGAAAGTTATCAATTCTGTGATAGAAATGGAGTACCAGTGTGCTCAATCACATAGGAATTATTTGGGGATCTTTATAAAATGCATAATCTGATTGATTAGGTCAGGAGTAGAGGCTTGGATTCTGTATTAGCAGAATTTTTATTGCAATATTTTGATGTTTTCACTCTAAATACCAAGATAAATACAATGAAACTGTAAAAGTTCAAGGTGTATAAAAAACAAGAGCCATATTTGCAAATTATTTATTTACTGTTTAAGCTCACATTAAAAATTTTCTAAGAATGGCTAAGATGAAATATACAAGGTCGATATACACATTAATCTTTATCTGAGAAGAATCCTAGAGATGGCTTTAGATGAACTCAGGCTTTCCTTCATGAAACGTGTTCCCTTAAATTGGGTGGGGAACATCTGCCCTGCGGGTCTCATTTGGTCTGGCCCTGCCAAGACAACCGCAGGCACGACTCAAAATTCAATATTTTCATAGCTTTTTTTTTTAAATCCTCACCTAAGGATATTTTTTCCATTGCTTTTCAGAGAGAGTAGAAGGGGGCGGGGCGGTGGGGTGGAGAGAGAGATCGACCTGAGAGAGACATCAATTGGCTGCCTCCTGCATATGCCCTGACTGGGGATCAAGCCTGCAACCAAGGTACGCGTCCTTGGCTGGAATCAAACCCAGGACCCTTCAGCTTGCAGACTGACACTCTAACTACTGAGCCAAACCAGCCAGGGCATAGCTAATTTTTAAGTTGATAATTTTGTATGGCCCACAAATGATGTCATAAATATCCAAATTGCCCTTGGCGGAAAAAAGGTTCCCCACCCCTGCCTTAAATCATGCTATGATATATTGCCATAAGAATAAATTTAATATATCTTTCAGAAAAACTGAGAAACAAAAAACTAACTTGGATTTATTATTAAACAACTATACATATGCTATAAAACCAAAACTATTTTATGATGCTGAGATGTTTAAATAGGTGCAAACATGATATAATTAATAAATTTTAAATATGGAATGCTTTGGTTATTAGGCTTTGACTTGGATTTTGGCTTGCTTGTGTAATTTTATCATTCCAATGAGTCATTCCAGGTAATCCATTCAAAACCAGACTTGCTCAATACTATTTATTACAAAGCACTGAGCCTTTCCTTGATTGGGAATACCTTTAAGATGCTGACAGTAGCAACACATTTCTCTTTTTCTTCACTCAGAAAGTAGAAATAAATCTCAAAAATAAAAAATTCATTCCAACATGTTAAAATCTGCCATAAAATCTTATTCATTCTTTTAAAAAAAGAAATTCCTCATAATAATACCTGCCCTGGGTATTGGTACATTATTGAAATACTAGACCTGTAACAGCTCCTCTCATACCTTGAAAGCCTATGGCTTGGTGATCTATTTACGTAAAAGATGCTTAATATTAAATATATAAGCAATGCTGTTGAAGCTTCTGGGGAGGATTCGCATTTAAAATAGTTTTTAAAATCTGAGTTTAATAAGAATTTTAGAAAAATAAATAAAATACTGTGGTGGCCCTACCCCTCCCTCCCTTCTATTTTTCTCCCTTCACAAATTTGAGCTTAAGAGTTCAGGCTTCTAAAAAGCAGAAGAAAGTGAAATAGAACGCAGGTTTTACTATCCACATTTTCCTCTTCGTAGTGCAATGTATTATTATCACAAAGGCAAACTTGATTTTCTTTCCTTGAAAGGAAGATCCCATCTTCTAGGACTTAATTTAAATAACTGTTCTTAGGAAGTCAAAAGAAAGTTTAACCAGTGCTTTTAACAAACAAGCAGCTATAAATGTCTATAAAATAATACATAATATGTGATTTTAAAGAGTGCTATTATAAAGTCTGAAAGCAAAATCTAAACATTTTAACATTTTAATCTCTTTAAAAGGTCTTTTAAAAAGCTATAAGCTATATTATAAATTGCCAGTTAAATTCCCACTCTAAATTACTTTACAAAAATAAACTGCTGCACAAATGTATCAATTAAGGTAACTATATATTTCTCATGTTGATCTTTTTTTCCAATCTCAAAAGTGCAGTAAAGCAAGAAATTAAGCACCTAGATGTTGGTTAAATAAACTTTCACTTGAGCAGCATTTTGATTTTGGATAAAAGAATTCTAAATGTAGTCTAAAACTTTCTAGAAAGTCACATTCACATTCATTGTACAGCATTTTACATACACATCAATACAGATTTATAAGAAATAAATATGTTAACCTACACTATTCATAATGTGAAAATTAAAATTCAACATGTGATCACATGCTATGCTAGCTATTTGAGAAATATGCTTGGTGCTCACTTCTGATGGCAATGACCTTGAGTAACTTGAAGATTATCACATAAGCATACCACAGATACTTAATTTATTTATGACCTTAGTGTAGACCTAACCACAGTTTTAAAAGTGAAAAAGATTCTCTGTTAAGTTCAATGCAGTAAAAGTAGTTGTATTTACTAGAATGTTTGCATTGGAAAAGGAAGATGGGGAAAGGCATGAGAGCAGATATTAAATGCTTTGAGGTGTAATTATAGGGAAGGATTAAAATTCTTTTTCCAGGGAGAAATCAGGATTTCTGATAAGAGTTGTCAAAAAATGAAAAGATAAGTGTGAACTCCCCATCCCACAAACCACCGGGGCTTGTTAGGACTCTTCTGAGGACTCCTGTGTTGGCAGGTGGGACTAACAGATGGTTAGGCCTGGAGAAACACTTAAGTTCCTTGATGCAAATTGTTGTGTTGAGATTGAGTTTCTAACATAGGACTTCTTAGGCAGTTTGCTTCATCTTTTGTTCCTGCCCATAAAGCAGTGTTTGATTTTGCTGTTGTACCGCTTGTAAATCAGTGGGTTTGGCCTTCTTGGGATACATCAAAGCAAATTTTTCTTATCTAATTGCTCTCCCACAAAAATGAATAGGTGACTGATGAGCTTTGTTAGTGTCCTACACCTAACAAGTCCTCCACCAACCGCATGCTGATGTAGGCTACAACACAGATTTTACTTCGGGAGCAAAAAGTTAGCCAACCTAAACTGTTTACTGTTCTATAGAGTTCTGGTTGTAAGGCTGAATGGGAAATCCTATTTGGAACTCCTTTATCTCAGATGGCATGCCATTGCTTATCATGTAAGAAATTCTTATTATCAGACTTGAGGTGTAGAGAATAGGAAGTGTGGAAATACTGAACCATTTACACAAGCAAATAATAATAACTATTCCATAAGTTAGAAGAGGTTTTCAACTGTAAAACCAAGGCCTTTTTTTCAGAAGATTACATTCACTAAAAGTGTAGAAATGAAAATCCCATTATGGCTCTAAATATAAGACAAATAAATAAGGTCACATGGTTTATACATTTTAACTTCTTAAAGAGGCCGTATGTTATTTCAGGACGACAGTTTAAAGTATTGTTCCCTGAGTTCTTGAGGCAGCCCCAAATGTAATTTCATGCATTCCAAGACTTTAGAGAGAGAGAAAACCCACACTGTGTACTTCTCTCTCTTCTAGTAGCTTTTTTCCAAAGTGGTTTGTCCAATGCTTTCCCCATAGCTCAAATCCTTTAATAATGTGGCTTTATCTATTTTTTATAAGACAAGCTCCCAAATGAAACTTATAAGGAAAAAAAAGGCTGTTTAAAGAAAGTACAGTTTTAACATTAGTTAACAGTGCAGTTGAGTAAATCAGTTTTATACCTATAATACATCAAGAGTGATAATACTGTCATAGGTGTTAGAAGGTAGAGTTCTAAGAACTCAGGCTTTTCTTTACTTCAGCGGTTATTGAGTCCAGTTTCTGTTACCAAGCAGAAAGTCTACCAATTAATTCAAAGAATGAAACTATTAGAAAGAGAATGACTCCCATATTTAAATGCTAAGGAAGCATACATTTGGTTTAACATAAAGATCAAAACAACAAAATGAATTAGATCTCAAACTTAAAATATCTGGAACTTAATAATTATATAAAAAACCTCATTCAAAACTGGGGTTTAAGGTTCATGAATTGTTTTCAGTATCTACCTTCTTGGTGACTACTAGAATATTTAAAAAAATTCAAAACCTGGGAATACTTCAAACAGTGAAATATGTAAATATTTGTTGGCAACTCCCACTACAGTCTACTTAGGAAACTCATTACAATGAATGGAGACTCCAATTCTGTTGCTGCAAGTTTTAGGTTGAAGCCATTAAAGGTTTTTTAAATTAAAAAAAAAAAAAAAGGTTGAGAGAATCTACTGAAATGTTCCACCCATTTCAGTAAAGTGCACAAACAAGAGTGTATCCTTTGGCTTTGCTATGACCTCAAGGGAGGTGTAGAAGTCAATGGTGCTGGTGTCAGATTCCTGACTATATTACTGAGGCTGGCAATCTTCTCTTCTAGGAGGTAATTTTTCTTTTCAGCTGTTTTTTGTCGCTGCTCAGTCATTTCCAGAGCTTTCAACAACTGGGCATTTTCAACATACAAATCCTTCACCACTGCATCTGCTTTAGTATTCTTGCAGAGCTAGAAACAGAACCAGAAACATCTTGACTCCATTTCTGTAATTCTTTTAAGTTAAAGTCTGACATAAGGACAGTTGTTTATAAAGGCAAATGGCTTCTATCAATTATATTCTTTTATTTTACAACATAGCTTTAACATCAGACTGGCATTGGAGGTACCAGTGGAGCAAATCCAAGCTGTTTGCATAATATGTTTGTAGAAGTCACTGATAAAAAGAACAATTTGATATTTGAGGGTTCAAAAATGAAAGTTTTTTTCCACTTAAGTAAATTAGATATTTTTCCTTTATTCATTCTCTAAAAATACTAAATACTTTTATAACTTAAATTTCTGAGTTGTAGGGTGTGAACTGTGTTTAACTGTTATTAATTTCAGATGCTTGAGCTTCCCATTTGTAACTACAGCCTACTAATTATTTAAAAATGTGGCTCATGTATTATAACAAAGAGATAAGATTTGAGCAGTTACTTTTCCTTAACTCTTCCTCTTTTGCATAGAGCCTTGTCTAGAAGATATATTCTAATATTTATGGTTAGAATATATAGTCTAGGTTAGGGTGGAAAACTTGTCAGCAGCCTTGGGATAATTTTATTATTGCTTCTGTTAATATTTTCTAATCCCTCGTCCTTCAATATACCTTTAACTCCTCAGTTACACGTAATTTCAGTTAGGACATCTAAAAATATAAAGGCTTAAGGGGATAGAGTGGCTAATTAATTTACTAATGTTTCAGAGGGCAACGATGAAGCCCAGAACCTAGATGACTGGTGAGTGTTAAATACTAACCTACTCTCGCCCGGCTGGAGTGGCTCAGTGGTTGAGCATCGACGTATGATCCAGGAGATCATGGATCGATTCGATTCCCAGTGAGGGCACATGCCCAGGTTGCGGGCTCCATCCCTAGTAGGGGGCGTGCAGGAGGCAGCTGATCAATGCCTCTCTCTCATCATTGATGTTTCTCTCCCTCCCTCTCCCTTCCTCTCTCTGAAATCAATAAAGACATATTAAAAAAACAAAAAACTAACCTACTCTCTGTTGAACTGTTTTAATACAACTTTCCCCCCTCCTACCTTCTAGTAAAAGACACTTTGATGATTCTTTATCACTTAAAGAATGAAATTCAAACTCCATGGCTCAGCCTGTAAGGCCCTCTACTGCCAGCTCCTCCCTAACTCTAGTTTCTTCTGCTTTTCCCTGGACAGTGTTATGCCAAACTGCTAATGCCAAAGTGTTTGCAGATGTCCACACCCATATGGTGTCATAATTCCACGATGTTTCCATAGCCTAGAATGCCCTTCCCACATTTCTTCACCTGTTAAAATCTTACTCAACCCATAATAGGTTTAAGAGGTCATCAGAAAACTTACTTTCAACTCCCTGGGTTGCATCAAGTATTCCTTTCCTGTGCTCCCCTCTACTGAAAATAGAGTAGACCCCATTTTCTTCATTTTTGAAACTACTACTGGCCAAATGATCGGTACTTTTGTAGGTGAACTATACTACATGTGGGTAGAGATTTTGTTTTGTTCATTGCTGTATCTCTAGTGCTTAGAATACTACCTGGCACATAGTAATTATATATTGAATAAATTAGTGATTAAAGGATTGAATCAATAAATGCTTATTTTACAGGGCTTTTTCTTTCCATTCTGTGTATTAAGATATAGGACAAAGGAAAGCTCCTGTCTACCTCTGCATTAAGATCTTCTGTTGGGATTACTCTTCCTAAATTGTATGTATCTAGAAAACAATGCTGGGAAACTTTCTCCTGCCCAACCCCTACCAGCTCAACTCAAATTTTCCTAGAAACTAGTCCTTTTTGCATGTCTCTTCAGTGGATGTACATACAATTTCTAAACACAGAGGCCATACCTGTCACCAGAAGGTGAAAAGGTTCAGGCTGCTTGGTGGTCTTGGAGTTCAGGGTCTGGATTCTAATTCAAAGCATAGCCTTTTGAGTCAGGTTATAATCATAAGGTACTTTTTGAGGTGGTCATAGCTGTTGCAAACAGGAAAGCTAAAGTTCTAAATATTATCCTCCAATTTTTTACCAATATAAATTTTCTGTTTATTTAAGTAGGAATATTTCCTGTCTTGGGCAAAAATAAAAAAAAACAACAAATACACATTTTAAAAACTGTGGACAAATATATGCCTTAAAAGAGCTTCAGAAAAAATAATGTAGAACACAGGATTCATATTTTTGAAATGGTATGGGGGAACGTGAATCCTAAATTCTTCTATACATTCATAGTAGGATTTGCCTTTATTAGACAACAACAGTTAACAAGTTAATGGCAATAAAGGAATGTAAAACTGGAGTTAAAAGTGGAATGTAAGGTGGGTGGGTAGAGATGACCTGGGAGGCTCACTTGTTCTTTGAGCTGATTCACTTTCTCCTGAAGAAGCCTTTTCACCAGTTTCAATTTCTGTTCAACTTCCATCATTCGTTCCTCCATGACAGTTACTAGTAGTTCCTGGTTTCCCTGAAGGGAAGGGAAAAAAAGTATTATCATTTGAAAATCATGCCACACTGAAATGAAAACACTAGTAGTTTATTTTCCCCATAAGATGCCTAGAGAAAGGAGAGCAAATGTTTGCCTCTGTAACAGGAAGGGGGGATTTCTTTACGAAATGGGAGTTCTGAACACTGCATGGGTTATACATGTTAGAAAAGTAACCCTTTTCTAAGAGAAAGAATCAAAGATAAAAAAAAAGAATCTTACCTGTGTTACCATCTTCCCCTGAGATAAAGCAAAATTCTTAAAACCCATAATTTAATACCTCTGTGCACTTTTAGTAAAATAGGTATCCAAAGTAAATTAAAAGATGTTTATCAACCTTCTATCTGTGATTTGGGTCGTTGCAATACTGTAGGCCTCTTAACAACAAAACCAAAACTGAATGTATTCAGGGTTGTCTAACATTTCCAATCAGCTTGCAATATGCGCATCTGTTTTTCCTTTGAAATGGCTGATTACTGTGAGGGTGTTAGTATTTCTTCATGATAATAACTCTTCCCAGTTATTCTACTCATCTGTTTCCAATTTGACTTGTCAATGTGAAGCAAACATCTGGATTGGAGGATGGGTTTATCATCTGAACAGATTTAAAATAATGAATCTTCTCCCCACAAACAACTCCTAGATAAAATAGGGCAGAAAAAGAGCCCTGGCTTCTCCTCCTCACCCCACACAAGAGTGACAGATTAAGGACTATGTGGGTTTTGGAGAGAAGAGGACCTGGAGGGAGACTTAGAGTACAACTGACTGCCCCTACCCATAGTCCACCAAAATGTTCACATAAGGAATTTCAGATTTTAAAAGGTTCTTCAAATGTTAAGCAGGTGTTAGTGGCTGATGGCATAACCAGCCTTTAAAAATATTCTCAAAAAGGCATCCTTTAAAAAGCACACAGAATGACCAAACATGAGTTGAAAGCCAACATTTGTTTGGTTATTAAATAAGAGCATTTCTTCAAACATAAAAGAAACAACTAATTCATGGGATTAATTTGAAGACAAAAACTGTAGTAGGCAAAAGTATAATGCAGAAAGTGAATTTCAAGAAATCAGGCTTTCAGAGTATCTCGCTTTCAAAAAACCCTGTATTTTAAAAGATATAATGGCTTTTCAAAATTTAAACACAAATTGGAAAATGCCTGATTTCCATTTGCCTTAAAAACAACAACAAAACAAAGCACAACTAAGAAAGCAAAACAAAACAATAACAACTAATTAATTCAAAGAGCGTGAAGCACGGCAAAAGAGTGGAGAAAGAGGAAAAACAAAGGCAGCCATATTTAAAATTTATTTTATTGTTTTGTCAAAATTCTCCTTTTTCCTGTCAAAAAAGTATTGTACATCTTATACAAAACAGTATAAATAAACCCTGATTTTCTTCAAATTCCATATATAAAAGTAGTACCTTTTATTAAAAATAGTTACAACATGTGGAATGAGAAAATATATAGAATACGTCCTTTTTCAAGAATCTCAAATCCACGCTTTAATGGTATAAATAAAATGATTTGTAACAAGCTGGTATTTGTGAACTTGATTCACAAAATCTGTCATTTCTACATAAATAAATAAGACACAGAATACTGCAAAGGCATAATAATAATAATAATAATAATAATTTAAAAGAGCACTTGATTCCAAAACATTTCTCAGCTTGTCTCTGTGTTTGTGTGGTATGTGTGGGTGTGTGGGCGTGTGCATTTGAGTATCTGCCATGGTAAGAAATGCCATCAATAGCAGCCCAGTTTTCACAGGTGCCCAATCCTTCTGTAGGAATCTGCATGCACTGCTCGCTGCTCCGGTAGCAAGGCCTAGAGAAAGAAGGCAAGTGGTACACTTCACCCTGATATTCAGGTTATGTTTTTTGGGGGGAGTCTAAATTCACACATTTATAATGCAAACAATTTTAAAAGCACACACATTAACACCACAGATGCAAGCAAAGCAACACAAAGGCAGAAGAAATCACATCACTCCACACAAGAGACAACATGCAGGTTCTGATAATATCCTTAAAATTAGTGTCTGCTCAGTTACCAGAAACAGGAGAACGTGTAGTGGCATTCTAGTGAGAGCACTAAGCAGTCCACCCTGCCACCTGACTGGAGGAATTGTTTTTTTTAGTATAAAAATCTTAACCTTTTTTGTCTACCTAATCCTGAAGTAACTGGAGTAATGGGATATTTATTTTTAAGCCTTGGTGGGTGGGTTGGGAAGAGCATGCTTTGGAAATAGTGTGTATGAGAAAGCAATGAGTAAAATCTTAGCTTAATCATTGGCTTAAAATGTCCAGCAAAAACTGAGGTCAAGGTTTCATAATTCAACTCTGTAATAAAGAGTTGAAGCATCTAATACCCCATCATCACAATTTTTACTCAAGAATTTAATTTTAATATTTGAAAATGGAAGTGGAAATGTAGGAAGCTTCTAAGAACATGGATTTTAAAGCACAAAAGAAAAAAAATTTAAGGTTAGAACAGAGAACAGGAGTACATCATGACAAAGCATAGATATATTAGGAGAGGAAAAGATAACTGCTCTAATGTATAATTATAGTGTTAATGTGACTTTGCAAAGCCACTTTGGAGGGATTACAGAAAAAGAGTTGGGAAATTCCTTATCAAATATCAACCAAGAAGCTAAGTATTTGAAAACAGAAGAGCATCTAAACCAGAAAGAAGTTATTTAGAATTCTAAAATGAAGGCGTATTTTTAATTTTATTTATAATTCTGAATAAACGTGGAAGACCAAAGAGGTAAGAGGCTTCTGAAAAAGGATGATTATGAATGAAGCACTAAAGAGAAATAACTATTTGAAAACCTTGGTAATATAAGATTGTGTCTGGTAGTGAGCTGGGATAATGTTAATTGAAAGGGAAGGGGAAGAAGATCTTTATTATCTTAAAAATAATTTTTTATATAATGTAGTTTGAAAATCTCTAAGTGAACTATGTCAACTAAAAAGAGCCACTGACTGCACATTTGACTTTGTTAGTTGTGAAAGTCCCCAGCTGTGAATTCCATGAACTCAGCAGTCTGCACCCTCTGGTACAAGAAAGCCCAGGAGGCTTTGTTAGTAACGCATATCCTAGAGTTGCACTTGAATTCTGTAATATTTTTGGCATCAGACAAAAATGTTAGGTCGATTGTGCACTATGTGCAAGTGATCTTGATACTTTATCATCAATTATGAATGTGCAAAGGAGACCCGAAACACTTAATTACCCAGCTGAGAAGCTGGGAGCTCAAAAGCAGCAAGCACTGCAAAAAAACAAAATGAAAGAGGCACTGCACTTCTGTGGATCTGTAATACAGGTAAGGTGTAATCTCTGACAGAAGATTTACACTTTTTATCTCCACCTTTCAGTTGGTTTAACTTCAAATAAACAGGTAAAATTAAACTAGGTGATCTGAGTTTCTACAAAGAGCCTCATACCTGTGGTGTGTTGGTTTCAGAGGTTCTGTTTTCAGGCTCCTCCTGCAGGTGCTGGTTTATCCTTTCTCCCTGCAGCAGCTGGTGTTGAAGCTGCAGAAACTGCTCCCTGGGCACCACCGGACAGGCTTGCTGCTGGAGCAGCTGCAGATCCCAAGCGTGAGGGGGTGGGCTAAGCATCACAGTGGACCTCAGGTGCTGCATCTGAGGGCGGGGGCAAAGCAAAGCCCTGGTCAGCCGCAGGGCCTGCAATCACAGAGCTGTCCTCGGAAGTATTAAGCAGAGAGTAATGAAGCCTGACCCACTGATAGCCTGTAAATCAGGATGGCACCTGAGTGTGAGTAAGAAGTAAAGGGGAAGAATCATTTTGCTCAGGAGATAATATAATTAATAAATCAGTAGGCCTCCTTAAAAGTTTTAGACTTAAAACTGTTCTCCCTCACTCCTGAGTGACTTTAAGGGTATGAGGTACATGATGTACATAATGTCTGAATTCTTCATTTTTTACTTACACTAGAACATTTACTTATCCCTCTTTAAAAAACCACCACCACTACCAGGGTTGGAGTAGACAAAGGGGAGAAAGTGGTTATGCTTTAGGGCTCGCCACTTTACTTACCATTCATAAAGATTCTTAAAAGCAAACATTCAACAACTATGCAGTTTTCAAGTTAGCAGTATTCTTTCAAAGAATCTTGCATCTAAAATTATTTTAACCTATCTTGGCTTATCAATGTTATACTCTTAAATAGCACAATAAGATAGGCAATTCTGGGGCATAAGGAGATATCACAGAACATCTGGGAACTGAAGTGCATGGAATAGAAGTATTTGTTCAAGACAATGAAGAAATAGTATGTGAATGACATGCCAATCAAAGTTGGAGACAGGAGAATGCATTGCGTTTGGCCAGTGAAGCATGCCAATTCACATCTGTCGACACATTTCAGCAGACACAGGGCTCAATGGGAGGCATGCAGCAAACATGACAAAGTACTAAACTCAAGAAGTACCTCCAGGCTTGTGAGAAGGGAAAAAGGTCCTCTAGACACAACTATAATGACATGTTATGAAACTTCAGAGCCACTATCCATTTCTTTAAATTTCTGAGGTGGGCCATTACCCATTTTGCAATATATTATAGATTCAGAAAAGCCACCACTTTATTTTCAGGAATAAAGTGTATATGGAGAATTATGATTCAATGATTTTATATCAGTGGGATGGTTTTCACCACGTCTTCAAATACTGAGTTTTAAATACTGAGGAAAACCTCATGTAAATATGAACACAGACATATCCCACAGTTAAAAGACAAATGAAAATGAATACTGGCTCTTACCTTAAGTACTTATTAACTGTTACAGTCAGGAGAAATGATCACATGTACAAGGAATTTAATGAGATGTCTCCATGCTATGAAATTCATTGAAAGAGAATGTTCTACCTTCACACACTATCTCAGGCAGAGAACTGCACCCTTCTCTGCTAGTTCCAACCACAGAGTTCTAGGTACAGGTTAGCCACAGACAAAACAAAAACAAAAGAAAATTACAGGAGTTATAAAAGGAAGAAAAGTATGAGTTATAAAAAGAGAAAGAAGAGTACACAGTGGATGTGTTATATACCTGAATATGTGTGTTCTAGTCAGTAAGAACTTATAAAGGACCAACAGTTACTTTTCTCTGTATATAAATTGTACAGATATTAAAAAGTTTTGGGAATAGGTGGCGATGGTTGTAGAACACTGTGAATGAATGTAATCAATGCCACTGAATTGTACACTTAAAAATGGTTAAAATGGCAAATTATATATATATATATTTATCACAATTTAAAAAATTAACGTAATACACCAAAACCATTGAATTGTGCACTTTAAATAGGTGAATTGTAGTATGTGGACTATATTTCGATAAGATTACTAAAGAATACAATTTGTATAGGTCTATACAGAGTTAATAGCTCTCATTTTCCTAAAGAGTTTTGTTAGAATAATGTATAAGATGTTCTTTTCAGTGTTCCAGTTGAAAATTCATGCTTTTTCTTTATTCACTTCTAGTACCAAGTACTCTCTCTCATCCATTAGTAAATATTTACTAATCAGGGAGAAAAATAACGAGGGAAAATTGCTTAGCAAGGCAAATAATGTGAAATAGGGTTGGGAGATAAGGGAGCTTCCGGGCCTGCGAGAGCAGGTAGGAGAACTGGCTTGTTGGCAGCGCTGGGAGAGGCTCTGGTGCTGATTAAGTATATCCTATTACTCTTTAATTTGGTATGAGATATGTCAGCCTTAGATTCAGATATCTTATTCATTCCAGTATGTAATTATTTCATCAGAAAAGCATATCTACATCTAAACACAGCCCACAGCTCAAGGTTTTAAACACATTTATTATATGCTGTCAGAGAAAAAAAAATGGTTTGGATTTCACTATTTATAGTGGCTAAATCAGAACACATAAAGGTGACAGAAACCTCAGTGGTCATTTAAATGTCAATGTGATATGTTTGCCCATATTTCACATTTAAAACTCAAGCATCTATTTAAAGTTACCTTTGCTTGTGCCCAGCTTCATAAAAATATTTAAACATCTCTCTTCCTTCCTATAGTTCTGGCTTATAATACTTGTATACATAGTACTTTTTAAGAGCACAATAAAGACAGTTTCCACTCATTCCTCTTTACCTTATGCAAATTTTACAGTTGACTAAACACTGGATTAATATTTTCATCTACCCAAAGCAGAATATCCAATGAAATTATGATTTATTAAGGATTTGTAAATAAGTTGCTTTATAGCCTATAACTGTCCTCAGTATTCAAAAAGCAATCTAGTAGACTGGAACCCCCTGTCCAGGCTGACAAGTTTTACAAATCCATTTTTATATTTAACAGCTGTACCTCTCTCAAGGCAGTGCTGTGTTGCTAATGTAATGAACGGTGGCAACACTTGAAAGTTAAACTTCTAAATGCTAATGTTCTCACATACCCTGCGTGAATTTCCTACCTGAAGAGGTTGTTAGAGAGCAATCTTACCTATAAAACACTATAACATGGAAGGTACCAGGAAACTGTTACAACCTTAGCAATGGCGAGAGAGCCATGGGTCTCTGGGCTAGTTTTGGACAGAGACTCTGCCTCCTGAATCTGCTGAGGAACAGGTCCTTAGGTTTTAGGATAATCAACATTAGCCCCTCCTCTGTGAAGCGGTACGAATTCCTATGACTGAGCTGAAATGGCCATCAAACTTGTTAAGATAGACCAAAGAATTCAGCGTGGCAGCGTACTTAGATTTTCGCTTTTTTCATAAGATGAATTCAATGCTGTGCTCGTCTCTCCCAACAAATGGCTCATTCATGGATTAAAATATTCTTCATAGCTAAGACCATTTGCTTAAAACTTTACCTCCATTAGCTGTTCATCCAGTTTTACTTGTTTCTTTTTCAGGCCTTCTGTTTCCAAATGAGTTGTTTCTAATTCTCGTTCAAGGGAATTCATTTGACTGACCTGTTAAAAAACAAAAAATTCCCTTAAAAAACAAAACAAAAATAAACACATCTGAGTTGCTCTACTTCATTTTGACAAGTTTACGCTAGTGAGAAATCTCAGCTCTTGGAAGAAAGCTGAATTCATTCCTTGAAGGAAAGCAAACAATGTAATTCAATGCATGTATTACATTTAAGTAGTCTAGTTTTAATCACCACTCCTTATGTAGAGCAGGTTGCTTAAGGGAGCTGGCTTTCAAACTTCAATGCCACTCACTGTATGAAATAGATTTTACCTTGCAACCCAGAAAATATACCTACACCCACGTGTATGTGTATACATGCATAATTAGTTATAAGTGCACATCACCGAAAGAAAACTTTCAGAAATAATACTTATCCTACCATGTACTCTGACATTTTGTAGTGTATTTTATTAATAAAAAATGCTGATGTTTCACTAAATCAATTTTATGATTCTCTACTATGGATCCGCAATGGAAAAAAACACTGTCTTAAGGCAAAGTTCAAAGATTTAAAACTGGGAGTACATAAAACCTGATTTCTCTAACTCCTTTCTCAATTTTAAAGATGAAATTTGAAGATTATATGAGTATCCATTTTTGGAATTCTCTTTATTATAAGAAGAATTTAATGAGCTAGAGAACACTGGGATTCAGAATACTGCTAAATAGAAAACATATGTCATAAACATATGACAAAAATGTTGATTTTTGCTTCTACCAAAACAGATGAAGATAGTAACAAGAGTTGTTAAAACGAGTGTAATCTTGCCCGGCTGGTGTGGCTCAGCGGTTGAGCATCGACCTAGGATCCAGGAGATGGAGGTTCGATTATCAGTCAGGGCACATGCCTGGGTTGTGGGCTCGTAGGAGGCAGCCAATCAATGACTCTCTCATCACTGATGTTTCAACTCTCTCTCCCTCTCCCTTCTTCTCTTTGAAATCAATAAAGATATATTTTAAAAAAAAAAGTGTAATCTCTCAAGGTACATTTAAATTCATTGTTATGTTAAAACCTATCATTAGAGTTTTCCCTTAGTGAGCAGCTGAATGAAACCCACTGTCTTTCTTGAAAAGTTGATTTGAATGTGCCTAAAATTAAATGACATTTCAGCTTTAGAGCACATCCAGTGTTCTTACTGCCAACGGTCATCATAACTTTCACAAATTTAAAACAAATTTTTCTAAAATTAAATTCTTTAACAGGATTAACCTACCTTGTCCCCCCCCCTTTTAATTGAATTTATTGGGGTGACACTGGTTAACAAAATTATACAGGCTTCAGGTGCACAGCCCATCATCTGCACACTGTATTGTGTGTTCACTACCCCAATTACCAATTTTTGTAACAAAGTAAATGATCATCATTCTCGCCAGATTTTTAAACCGTAAGTTTCAGAAGAGGAAGGTAACAGTGAAAACTGTGAGTTTTAGTTTAGAAAAAGAAAGAAAAACAAGCAGCAACAAGAACTCCTAGAGTAACACTGGTCTAGAACTCTTAACCTCATGGAACGAAGAACTGCACTGTGTTCCAGAGGTTTAACCGTGTGGCAGTGAGCCTCCAACACAGTCCCCAGTGATCGCCACCTCCTGGTCTTCACACCCTTGCGCGGAGCCCTCCCATACGCTACCAGGGTTAGTCTGTGTGACCCACAGAATACAGCAGAACTAATGGCGTGTCATTTCTGGGATTAGCTTATAAAAGGTACTGCAGCGTCCGGGCTGGCGTTCTGGGATCTCTCATCACTCGCTGCCAAGTCCTGAGAAAAGGCCCCGGCGGTAGGAGCCGAGGCCTCGGGCAGTCAGTGAGCCGGGAAAGAAGCCTCCTCCTAACTGATGTGAATGAGCCTGGAAGCGGATCCTCCCTCCCAGCGACGCCCTCGGGTGAGGACAGCCCCGGCTGATACGCGGACGCGACCCCACGAGAGACTCAGCCAGAAGCACTCAGCTAAGCTGCTTCTGAAATCTTGACCCACAGAAACTGTAAAACAAGTGTACTGTTTTAATTTGTTACCCAGCAATAGATCAGAGGCCTTAAGATGTTCCTAATATTCGGGCTATGCAGACTTTACTGACTTATAAAGGCTCTGTAATACTAGTAATGATTAGCTGTCTTCTCTATGAAAGCGTCAAGTTAACAGCTCCTTTTCAACCATCACTCAATCAAAAAAGTATACTGTTTCGACAAGATTACAAGAGCACAGACAAAAGGAAGAACAAAAATATGCCACCTTAGTCATTTCCTTGGAAGCACACAGGAGAAGAAACACACTTAGGGACGGACGCATCCTAGTCAGAACATAGACACGTGGTATAAGCTCTTAAAAACTCACCTTCCTATTTGCAGGAGATCTTTCCTTTTGCAACTGTTCACACTCTCTTTTTAAGCTCAGCTTCTCCTGCTCTGTGGGCTTCACAGTACCTGATGTGTTTACATGTTTTTGGTGTTTGAGGGGGAGAAGGCTGGATTCCAGATGACGGACCTAAGAACAAATGTAAGAGGAAGAAATGCTAATACAATCGCCCAGCCAAGAAAAACAGACGACAAACATAAGGAAAGTTTTTATTTAGCACTTGGGTATTACTGTATTAAACACACTTTTTCAGTCAAGGCGGCTAATTTTTGAAGCCTACTTTTTTGTATTTCAAAAGATCCTTTCTACGTAAATCTCTTTTTAGTCTGACTGGCTCTAAAAACCCAACACTATAAGGAACAGGTACGGAAAGAGGGGACTTCTGGCTCTACCAAACCATGGAGAGTCAAGAAAACAGACACGGTCCGAGGCGCTTTTGCTCTGACACCGGTGTGACTTTTGGGGAGTAAATTAGATGGTCGCCTACTTTGTACTGGACTGTTCACACCTGAAACAATATATTTATATCAACTAAGTTCCATGTGGACAGTGACCCTGTCTATCTTGTTCAACACCGCAGCTTCAGTGATAGCAGTTTCTGGCACACAGTAGATGTTGTAAAATAAAAATCTGTGGCTCTTCAGAGTGTTCTTCCTTGAAAGGGGTGTTAAGTAAAGGTTAAACATGATTGGTTCACTACTTACTAGAGGTAAAGAATGATGGAAGGAGACTTGCCTTGGGGTGGTGAACACACAACACAATAGACAGATGATATATTATAGAATTATACTCCTGAAAACTACATAATTTTATTAACCAATGTCATCCCAATAAATTCAATTAAAAATGCATGTGAGGTTCAGTTATGCTGTTGTGTGTACAGGTGTTTATTCCTTTTCATTGCTGAATAGTATTTCATTGTGTGGATGTGCTACAGCTTGTTTATCCATGTACCAGGTGAAGGATATTTGGATTCTTTCCAATTTGGCATGACAATTAATAAAGCTGATTTAAACATTAAAAAAGAAAAAAAGGCCATTCTAACCTTTGAAGACCATTCTAAACTTGAAAGTTTAATTCTATTTTTTAAAGACCATTCTAACCTCTAAACCTTGAAATAACCTTTAAAAAGGGGCACCTTTGCCCTGGCCGGGTGGCTCAGTTGGTTGGAGCATTGCCCAGTACACCAAAAGGTTTTGGGTTCGATTCCTGGTCAGTGCACACACCTAGGTTGCAGGTTTGATCCCCAGTTGGGGAGCATATGGGAGGCAACTGATCCCTGTCTCTCCCCACCCAAACATATCCTCTGGTGAGGATTTAAATAAATAAATAAATAAAATTTTTTTAAAGGGGCACCTTTTCTCTTACAAGGAGTTAGACCAACAAGATCTGAGTCTTGCTGTGCCATTTTTGTGCTACTAGTCTTGGTGGCTAGCCTATTTGAAGAGGAAAATATGGTTAACAACTTCCATGAGTCTCTATTTTAGATCTGAGGATTTAAATCACAGATTCTTATACTGAACTGCTTTTACAAAATGAAAAATATACCAGGACAAAATTAAATGAAAGTAAATGATAGATTATACATCCTGAAAATAAGTCTGCTTTAACAGAATACTCAATTCCATACCTGAGAACTATTTCAATGATATCAAACACTTATTTTCACATCACAGTAAGCATTTCCAAACATCGCCACCGTGGGCAGCTTTTCGAGGTACCTTCTCCCGGGAGTGTGCGAGCTCCACCTTGGTGCTCTGCACCACAGTCTGGAGTCTCTCGTTCTCTTGCCAAAGCAGCTGCTGTTCCTCATTCCTCAGATGATCCAACTTGTCCCAAGACAGCCGTGGCTGCTGGTTCTGGAATCCTGACGGTGGGGTGGCTACTTCTGGGACCCAGTTCTTAAGAGACAATGGCACAGTTAAGCCTTAAAAACAAGCTGATTTCTGTTTTGAGTGTTGTGTTTACCTAATGACAGCAATTCTTAGTTAAGAACCTTTCAACCTTTACCTTTGCGTTCTAATGGGAGTGAGTAAATGTATATACAGGTATAAAAAAACAATGTTATTGGGGCTTGATTTAAAAAAAAAGGAGTATAAACACTCTGTTTAAAATGGTCTTTGGCAAAATAACCCCATCAAGTCTACTAGCAAAAGTGACCGTACAGCAAGTTCCAGTTCCATACAGGACACAAGTACATAGAAACTGGTGGCCTTAAAAACTTCCCCATTCTTATGAAGTTATGCTTTGAACCCAGGTAACTGCTCTTCTGGTTAACAGAGGGCACAGAGGCACCATGGAAATGTAGTGCTAACTTGAAAGCTTTCACAAGCTCAACTCTACTTTCATTTTCACATATGCAATCATATCCTTCTTTAGCTTCCAAAGCACATAATGTTCATGTAATTGAGGCCTGAACAGAGAAATACACATTAAGCTACCGAAGTGATTTTTTGGATCCTGAAAAATGCTTTAAAAAACAAAAAAGGTAACACAACTAGATAAGCCTTTTAAGTCAAAACATGAAAAAGAAAAAAAAGTACCATCTCATTCTGAGAAAAATGTCAGTTCAGAAGTAATTTTTTTAAATGGAAACTATTTTTTTTAAAAAAAATCACAATCGAAAATTATCATCATGAGAAAAAGTAACTGAATTAATGCCTACTTTTATGCTAGGACAAAATCTCAACATCTGCCTGAGGCTGATGCCCCTAACACTGTTTGTTCTTAAGTTATTTGTGCACAGATGAAGCAGCATTGTGATATTAAAATGAGACACACTCTCTAGAACATCAAAATATTTTAGTTTTACAACAAAACAATGTCATGGTCTTTTGACTTGCATACTACAAAAAGTTAACTTGTCACTATGGTTCTATTTATATAAAGTTCAGAAACAAGAGTCCGTAATCTATGGTGCAGACGGAACAGTGGTTCCCTTGGGGTTATCAGCTGGAGAGGACAGAAGAGAGCCTGCTGGGTGCTGGAAATGTTCTGTATTTTCAACTAGGTGGTGGTTACACACACACACACACACGGAGGTATGCAAAATATCACATTTTACATATACATGTCTATAATCAAGTTATATACTTAAAATGTGTACACTTTACTGTATAAAGTTACACCTCAATTAAAAAGGAAATTACCTTGTCACCAGCATTCTGAAGCTGCTTCTGTAAAGACATCACTTCTTGTTTCAAACCCTCCTTTTCCTGCTGAGTCGCTCGTAGGTCGGATTTAATCCGGGACATTTGCAGGTTTACATTCTGCAGTGTGTCCTCTAAACTCTGAACCTGCATCAGGAGAACAGTCTTACACTCTGACCCAAATCCTTGTGCCTCACCTATAGCATGTCCAGGTATGAATGAGCTAGGACAAGATAATGCCAAGGTCCCTTATGTTTCTACTTGTTATATCCAGCTCTTCACAGTAGCTCTGTGGAAGCCCATTCTATTATGTATATTTAAAGGATGTTAAATTATATTTACGACAGTGATGAACTATGCCTGGAGCAAGGTATTGCTGATACAGTCATCTGGCCTATTACCAAGTGATATCTTACAGAACCAATAAGTACCAACTGCCATCACAAAAGATGGTTTCGCCTAATTTTATAGAAATTATGTTTTAGCCTGTGGTGTTGGTTTATAAAGGATCTCTTAGTTGAAAACAAAAATTTATCCTGGTAGAACCCTAGTCTATGCTAACATCTCAATTATTTCAATTAAAAAATACTAAACTGGTAAAAGGAATGTTGATGCAGATCTTTATAATAGGGCATGAACCTGCCTTAGAAATGTCATTTCTAAATTACGAACAAGCAGTCATTTTTACACACTATCCTCAGCTTTCATAAAGAAGTAATCTCATAATGATGAGATAACCTCATAGAAATGAACTTGGAGAGGAAATACTCAAATTATTTCACTACACTATAAGCATTATATCAAATATTAGTCAAACTAAATCATTCTGAGCCCCCTTGGCCACTTCCGTCCGGAACATTCTTTCCACTGGGGGTTCTGCTGGAAGACACAGGGAAATATTAACTGTGCCGATGAAACAAGAATCGTCCACGTACCTTTTCCTGTGAAGCTGCCAGCTGCAACTTCAAGCTTTCACTCTGGTGTTCCCAAGACTTCTGTTCTTGCTTCATAGTAGCTATTCTGTGCTCTAGAAGACTTGACTTCGCCAACTGTTTCAGGGAAAGAAAAGAGGGTGCAGGGCATTTTTCAAATAGATCTAGTCTCAATTTACAGGCCTCCACTTATGTTAAAAAGATCAAGTACCATGTATTTATGGGGGGAGCAGAGCAAGGCAGAAGTTCTCCTGACTCCCTTTTCTCCCTTTGATTTTGAGGAGTCTCTTCTCTCTGGGGATTTCCATTTTTCTTTCTCATTGTCTCATATTTTGTGGGTTAGAGATGGTGGACTGGGAGGCAATGAGAAATCTCAAGAGTATACCATAATAGGAAAATACAGATCACCTAGTAAGGCAGGTGGGACAAAAGCAGTGTTTTGGATTTGCTAGGGAAAACACAATAGAAAAAAAAAAGTCTATGTAATAGACCTCAGATTATTAAAAACAACAAATATTATTTACTTTATATATAAGTAGGGAGTGATATACTTAAATAATATTATATATGAAGTAGCATGGCTACATATTAAAATGAGACAAACTTTGTATTACCATATTTAACAATGTGATTAGACAGCTACTTTAGACTCCTGGTGAAATCATGGCTTTGGGAGCTCTAAGGTTGCAAAATGCCAGCTGAAATGCTGTTCCAGGAGCCTCTGGAATAATCAGGCCCATGTGCCAAATGCAGAGAGAAATGCTCATTACGGCACACAGTGTACAGCAGTGGTAAAAAGTCATACTTTCACTACCTTATCAACGCAGCTATTTAATTCTTCACTTAGAGCTTCCTTTTCTTTCAGCAGTTTTTCACTGTAGCTTAGAACACTAGAAATTTTTTGCTGGAAGTCTGAGAGATCGGGACATCTGTGCAGCTGTAAGAGATAAACAAATGAGCCCTCCCATCACATCTCATGCCTATATTTATAAAAAGGTATTTATAAACAGGGCATTTTCATGACTGCTGTTATTTCCCTATCTGTAGATATTTCAGAAGACGTATAAACTCTCGGGGACTATAATTAACTTTAACAAAATGTTCCCGCTAGTTTCTCTCCATTCTCCAATCGACCGTTGAAATGTCTGCTCAGATAGACTCAACCAGACAGACATTGATAAATAATGGTCCTAGCTTTCTGTTTTACTTTCAGGGTAAAATAAATAACAAACTGACATCCCGTCATCAATTTAACTTGTGTACATGTAGCCCAATACATTTTCCTTGTGCTTTAACTAAAAAAAAAAAAAAAATCTTTAAAAAAAAATCTGTCAAGACTATACAACTGGTATGAACCAAGTACAATGTATTAACACAAGGGCAAGTTTAAAGAAAAAACATTATTTCTGAGCTTGTTCCATGTACCCTTTCCTTCGGAAGATATCCAAATTGACTTGCTTAGTAAAATGTTGCTGGTGTGGACACTGGCTTCCTCCTCTCCACTTCATGGAATCAGGACAAACCAGACTTTTTTTCTTTTCAGCATCAACCTTAGCACTACTGACATTTCGGGCCAGATAATTCTTTGTTGTGGGGTCTGTCCTGTNGTTTCTTTTCAGCAACAACCTTAGCACTACTGACATTTCGGGCCAGATAATTCTTTATTGTGGGGTCTGTCCTGTGCACTGTAGGGTGGTGAACCGCATGTCTGGCTTTACCAATTAGATTCCAGTAGTGTCCCTCCCCCTTCCCCACACACAAGTTATACAAACCAAAAAACGTCCCCAGACATTGCTAAATGCCCCAGGGTGGGGAGCACCCCCCCACCCACTGCTTTAAAGAGACTGGTTGTTTCTTACACTTCTTAACTCTTTCCACAGTTCATACATTTTTCATTTCCCTCCACTTCACTTGACTTTCCAATGTTCAGTTCTTTATTATCATCATGATTTTATGGCCATCTTTCTACTTCCTACCTTAAGTTCTTTTACATTTAGCTTAATAATAGTATGACAAAATAGCCTTTAAGGGTAGGATCTTGCCTTCAACTGGCAACAAATCGGGCATACCTTACAAATCTAAGCAAGTCAGAAGGCTGGAGGAACATGTATTTTAAAGTACCTGGGCACTGGTTTAATGAAGGACCTCTCTCCTTTACCCACCACCTTGCCTCCCCAACCCCAGACCCTCACAGAGCCTGTTGTCATTTTAGGTGTCGACAAATGGGCATGTGGCTTCTGGTGCCGTTCATGTTTCTTCTCAGTGCAACAGATAATAAAAGTGTTTTGTGAATGAGGAGTCTTCACCTATGCTTTCTAGGTCCCAGCTGTGTGGCAGCCAACAATGGGCTGACACCTTCCACTCTTGTCACCCGAAAGGGTGCCACAGAACTTCCTGCCAAAGGCAGACAGGGCTCACAGTTTTTCCATCTCACCGTTTATATCAATGCCTCTGTAAAAAATCTGCAATAAAAACGTGCTGAATGATGTCCTCATCGTGCTATTATGCTCCCACGTCTGCTCCTTTCCTTCTGCTCTCTAGCTTAACAAAGTCCCAAAGCACACGTCGCCCATGCTCTGGACCTGGAAGCCATCACTGCCACCTCGGAGGTCCAACGGCAGGCAGACTTTCAAAAGGTGAAGGAGGGAAAGAAGTATGCCCAAGCTACCTGGGACGAAGGTGGCGACGGCAGCGCTGGCATGCTTAGCCACCAGAGAGGGGCCTGTGAGTTTTAACTTCTGCAGTGTTTATGTGGACAGGCAGCTTCTGTTAGGGCAGAAGAGATACGCCACGCACAGGGGCATCTGACTTGGAGGGGTTCTACTGAGGCGCCCACTAGGCACCGGGACTGCACTAGGCATTGCGAGAGACACAGATTCCCCGACAGCCTCATGATGCTGTTAGGAAATCAGGACTGAAGGAGTCAATCAGAGTCAACAAACACAGCATTTGGCGGTAGAGACTCAATATTTCAGCAGTCAGGGAGGGACGCCTTTATGCGCATAGACTGGACAGACACAGAGAATTTTATAATCTAAGGAGGTCATAATATTAAAGTTATCCTTTAGTGAAGCAAATGAAGTAAAATGGACCAATCAAGTTCTCCTATTATCAATCAGGACTGCTCAAACAGAAAGATTCCTGTACTCACTGAAAAACTCAGAATAGAGAATAAAATAGGACAATGTCCAGGATAGAACTTTAAGGTGAACCCTTTTTTATACTTAAAATTAAGTCTTTGAAACTTTGAAATAGGCTCTGAAAGCGAAATTTGTGAGAGCATCCCTGATAACACTCTAGAATTTACCCTTGCGCCTAAGATGGATGCCTCATACCCGCCGTAAGGAAAACAAACAAGAAGGACCAGCTGTGTCTCACGAATCTGGGTGAACAGTTATTAAAGTTATAAGGAAAAGGTTACCTTCTTTTTAGACAAACATATTAGTTTTTCACCTGGTTTGGAGAAAGTACAATACCAAATTTCTTAAACTGAAGTGGTTGTGATCATTTATAGCAAAAGGACTTCCGTCTATAACATATATAAGTTACAACCTAGAACAACATTTAGAGAATTAGCAATAAAAGCCCTTCTACGTAGACTTACATTGCAAGTCCTCAACTTCACTAAGCGATAATCTAGTTGACAGGATTCAGTAGAAGGGACACTTGGTGGCCAGAAAAGCCAGACCATCAGTACCTAATGTTCTACGAGCCCCTTTCCCCGCACCTCTCCTAAGCAGCATACACTCTTACTTGTTTCATTTTCTCCAGTTCGTCTTTGAGAAGGAAGTTTTCCTGTTCCACAATATGAGTCTGTATTTTAACTTCAGAAAGTTCTGCTTCCAGAGAAGACACTAAAGTGGAAGACTAGGAAAAAAACCAAAAAGTCAAACAATATACATGTGCATTTAGCCTAGGGACACATACTAGGGTCACAGAAGGCAGCATTAAGGACACACCAGCACAAATTCAATGACACAGTGGTTTTTGTTTGTTTTTAAATATGGGAAAGTTTATTTAGAAAGCCACAGAGGTAGCAGAAGGGCCCTTGGTGCTTGCAGGCCGGGAGAGGGAGGAGAGGCAGGGGCGTGCCTCGGAAGAGAGCGAGCGCCGGTGACGCAGCTTTATGACCATTCAGCCTGTCCGCAACCGAGCTAACTAAAACTCTTTTAAAAGACCCTCCTCTTAAATGACATGAGCATGACTTCTAAGGTAGTTTTTGCAGGTTTCTCCACTGTACAGTTACTCTCTTTCTCTTGGGGGGACATACTTTTAGGCTATGCAAATCGTGTTTCTTCTTAAACTTTTTGCTTATTAAGTTTAGTGTCTATCACTGGATTTTGTCTACAATAATTACTACCCTGGTGTTTGCCTTATAATGATTTTCTATTTCTTTCTTTCTGCATTTATTAATTGGAATTCTGCTGTAAGGAAGACAGTGTTTCTCCCCCTTCATTTACTTACTCAGTTTTTTATATTGGTGTGGACCTATAGATATTTATTTTATCCTATGTTTATACTTATTTGATGTTATACGATGGTTATTTATTTTGTTGATGAAATCATTCCACCTTTGGCCAAGAACACGGGGCCCAACCTCCTTCAGGTTGGGCCGTGTGTGTCCTTCTAACATGCCCCATCTTTTATTGGGCTTTGTTTTCCTTTCTGGCACCATGAAATATTCCAGGCTTATCTTGAATTTTCCTTGTCTCAGCCTTGGAATCAATCATTTTTCCAAGGAGCCCTGGTTCCTCTCATAGGAGAAAGGTGTTTAGAAACCAAGATCTGAGCACTCCATCCATGAACACACATCCATATCTCTGTCTATTCATAAGCTAGTACCACACTATTGTTGTTTTTTCCCCCCTATGCAGAATAATGTATTTATTATTATTTTTTTTATATATGCTTTTATTCATTTTAGAGAGAGAGGAAGGGAGAGGGAGAGCTAGAAACATCAATGCTAAGAGAGAATCATTAGTCAGCTCACCCTGTTTTATTAAGACTTTATGTACAAGAAATTTAATACAAGCATTTCTTTTATGTTGGGATTTCCTCCAAAAGGCTGCCCGGTGGCTGCAGACCATACCTGCGCTTTACAGTGTTCCAGCTCCTCTTTCAGATTCGACTTTTCTCCTTCCCGTTCCTCGGCCGTGCTGGGTCCTGGCTCCTCCTTCTGGCATAGCACTTCTGCCAGCCGTTGATTAAGTTCTTGCAGTTCTTTCTGATTTTCAGAGTTCTTTTGGCTAAGTTCCGTATTTTCCAAATCCAACTGTTGGTTTTTGGTTTTTAATTCTGAAATCTAATTAAAATTGAAATAGGTTTTAAAAACTAGTTACCCTACTTCTGCTAAAAAAACAGATTTAGAGACTAATTGGTTTTTTCCTGACTACGGAAAGTTACACATACACACTTAATAACAGAAATAATATAGAGTAATTGTTACAAATCTGGTCAGTTCAGACGTGTATGAAGAAGTGACAGGCACTCAGTCCAACCCAGTCTACATGGGTAGCCACTGTTCACAGCTGGATACGTATATAACCCTCCAGGTTGTTTTCTATGCATATACAAAACCCATATACACACAGAGATTTTTTTTCTTCTTTGTAACAAAAATTGGAATCCTTTCAGATGTTTGGACAGCCTGTTTTTCCCCACTTAACATATCTTACAGGCTCCTATCTTCCAAGTCAATGCATTTAGAAACCACCATATGCTATATTTTTTAGTGGCTGTCACATTTTCCAAGGATCAAGACATTACATAATGCGTTAAGTTTTAATTATGAAGGAACAAAACAATCCTTTGGAAAATTCATTTACACATGGTAGCATTTTGTATTTAGGGTCATTTTTTTTTTAGAAGTTGGGCTGCTGGCTTAGAAGGCAAGCATATGCATTACTATTTTTACGGATATCCCCCAAATGCCTTCCTCACANGGTAGCATTTTGTATTTAGGGTCATTTTTTTTTTTTAGAAGTTGGGCTGCTGGCTTAGAAGGCAAGCATATGCATTACTATTTTTACGGATATCCCCCAAATGCCTTCCTCACAGGCCCACCAACTTACAGTCCTATCAACAAGGTATGAGCACCTTCATCTCCCCACCACCTCTTTTATACTGGTGATACCACTCTTCAATTTTTGCAAATCTGACAAGTGAAAAAGTTATTTAATCTGCACTTCCCTCATCACTAGTGAGGCTAACCGTCTTTTTACTTAATATATTCTTTTGTTTCTGTGACTTGACCACTCACATCAACTATTCATTTTTCAACTGGATTCTGCCATTTGTTTGTATGTGTACAAAATACACTGTGGATGTCAATGCCTTGTCCACTCTTTTCCCAGGATGTTCCTGCCTTTTTACTGTTTCAGACAGATTTTTAAATGGCCTTCCTCTACCCAATGGCATATTGTGAGATTGTACAAATTGGCATTGAATGGCACAAGTTATCTGAATAAGTCATAATTCTGTGAAAAAGATATACTGATAAACTGGCATTCTATATCTGTGAAATTTTCTGCTTTTAATCACAGTGAGAAAAGAGGAAGGCGCTAACAGCTGAAACTGTATGAAGAATGGAGCTAGTATTACTTAGGTTTGTTTAAAGGTATCACCTCCCCATTCCCACTTATTATAAAGTTTTTATCAAGCACTCACACAGAGTCAAGAAATAATAATACATTATTATACCCACAAAAAATAGAAACTTAGTTTCTAGTTACAAAAAATTCACCTATTGACAAAAAATAGAAACCTTAGTTTAGAGTCAGCATGAGGTGAGTTTCCATTTTGAATCTCTAAATTTACAACCTTACCACCACTAACTAATGTTATTCCAAAAGCATGTCCTATAAACCTGTAAATTTCAAATAAAAAAGAAAATGTCAGACTCCAGAAACACTGGGAAATATTAAGGATCTCCTTACCTGTTTCTTTAAATTTTCAACTATCTTCTGAACTTCGGCTTTTTCCTGTTTTACAGTTTCTATATTTTGCCTAAAGGGACAATGAAAACATAACTTAAGCGTTAAGCTTTAAAAGTTGAGGTAAAATAGTTTTAGTCCTTGCAAAAATGCCTTAAGAAAATTTAAGTATATGTCTTACCGCATTTCTTCCTGAGATCCATTTAATGCCTCCAATTGCAGGTCAGAAATGCTGTCTTCTTCGTTTAGACTAGTAATTTCATTTCTCAAAATAGAATTTTCCTCTTGAAGCTTCTCAGATTCATATCTGAAGTACAGAGATTTTTTCCAAAAAGTAGTTACCACAAGGCAGTCATCTGGCATCTTTGGAAACTACTTTCTAGTAATTTCCAATGAAATAAGTACTTCATGCCAGTTAAAACGAGAAGTCTGAATTAGTAGCCTCTGCTCTTAGAAATCGAACTGTATCATATTGACTCATTTCTTACAGGAAGTAAGAATTCCACTGGAGGACCTCAGGGAAGTGTCGCTAAGCCACCGAAGACAGAATGGAGGCCAACGTCCACTCGGGTTGCTGCCTGCCTGTGCGCGCCTGCTGCTCTGCGCACATAACTTCATTTATCTCAGTCTCAAGTCCTACCTGCTTCCAACAGACATAGCCCATATGACTAAGCTGTATTGGCTTTAGTTTAGGCCCCAAGGTCCCTAGAGAAAGAAAATTCACTACATGAATAAAAGGGCTGCACTGAAACATGAAATGTTTACTTTGTGATTGTTTCCTACTTCATTATATTCTGATTTTCAGAACTGAAAATCATCTGAAGCAGAGGAAACACCATGCACAATTAAATTATTTTGTTTCATATCATTAAGATATTTCAGGCATGATGCAATATTTTATGAGTTTTTTTAAAAACCAAATTTGCTAGAAGACCTACTGCAATCATAACTTTTAAAGTCAAGTGGGTGGCGGTTCAAGTCGTTTCATTCTTGTCTTTATTTTCAATCACATTTCTTAGAATCTGAAAGCTCCTCAATAAAATTACACATTCTAAGATAGATGTCTATTGTTTACAGAAAATCGGCACGTTCCTTCAAGTAGTATAAGGAAAAAACTGTAAGGTACAAAACACATCTATCCTATATTAGTATAAAAAGAGAGTTATCTACCAAGCAAGTTAATAATACACAAAAGGCATTCATTCTCATATAAGTTTCATCACAATGAGGAAAATAACATTTAACAGCGACAAAAAAATCTACCCGTCCAAATGAAGTGCTAGAAAAGAGTTAAAGACTCGACATACACTGACGCACGCGGTGGGACAGCAAACACTCTCCCTCATGAGCTTTCACACCGAAATGAACGACACTGATTTCCTACGGAGGAAGGGGCTGCCTCCCAGGCAAGGTTACTCTACTTGTTAATGTGTCAGAAGCAGAGGGGCGGCTACGGCCCCGCTCTCTTCTGGAGGCTACAGGTTAGTTTCTCTAGGTGCAGCAAGCAGCAGTTAGATCGGGCGAGGCGCTCTGTGGGGCTCCGTGCGTTTAGAAGGACATACATTACCTCAGAAGCTCAACTTTCTGCTGCATCTCACTGCACGTGATCTGCAGGTCGTGCATCGTTGCCTTCAGCTCTTCCTCCTTTCCTCCTTGGGAAGGCACATCTTTCTGCTTAACTAAATTAGTGACTCTCTCCCTCAGCTTTCTGGTGAGCTCCTGCAGCTTTGTTTTCTCCAGTTCTAACTCTGCTATCACGGCCTGACGCTGAAGATGTTTGTCGTGAAGGCCTAGGAGAGCGGCGTTTTCCTCCACGATGACTCGGTCCTGCTCTCCGGGCTTTTCGCCGTGAGTCCGGATCGTTGTGTGCAGCCAGGCAATTTCACGGGCCTTTACTTTGCCCGGGGTCTGCGGGCTCTCCTGCTCAAGGTACTGGTTTTCCTGGTAACACTCTTCTATAACCTGGTGCCCACCCGGGACCTCGGGCGCGCGCTCTCCCAGGGCCGGATGCGGGCCGAGCGCCCTTTGGTCAGGCTGCGCGCCCAGGCTCTCCAAGTGCGCCTCCCACAGGGAGAAGCAGGCACACTGCAGCGCCGCCCTTTCCCGCAGCCTCTCGACCTTGCCTTGAAGTCTCAAAACCACAACACGCAGCTCCTCGTTTTCTCTTTTGACCGCGTCGTAACTCTTCTCCAGGCTAAGGTATGTTTCGGTCGCTTCTTCCACTTTCTTCAGCTCGTCCTGCAACCTGAAAACTTCTGAAGCGAGTTCCTTGTTGTTTTCCAGGGCTTCATCGTAGTGTGTCTCCAGCACTCTCAGCTCTTCCTGCAGACAGTCATTTTCTCTGCTGGCATCTTCGTACAGCAATTTATACTTGGGAGAAGCCTCGGGGATTCTTTCAAGCACATTTAGTTTCTTTTTCAGCACAGAAACATCGAAAAGGAGATCCTGTTTCTTTTCAGAAGCTCGATCGCAGTCTGCACGTAAGGTCATTAACTGTTCCTGAAGCTGACAAATCTGATTCTTCAGGTCCCGGGTCTCGGTCCTGGTCTCCTCACTGTTTTCAAGCTCAGAAAAACTCTCCATTGACGCTTCAGACTCCTCTCTCTTGACTTCCTGTCTCTGAACAGAGCTCGTCCCTGTGCTTCCCAGGTCCCGGACCTCATCGTCTTGCGGGTCGCTGAGGATGCGCCGCCTGGTTATACCTTCTACTTGCTTCATTCGGTTTTGCAGTAAAAACGGCTCTGTTCGTTCCACAGAATTTCCAAAAAATCCAGTAGCTGGCTCCTCTAAACAAGATGACATTACTGACCCTGGCTCTAATTTTTGCAGCCTCTGCTGCAATCTAGAAATTTCAGTGGCCATTTTCACATTTTCCTTCACTGCCTGTTCGTGGGCTCGCTGCAGGCTCAAGAGGACGTCTCCATTCTCTTCCAGCAGCTGCTGTCCTTGCTGGAGCAGGGACATGGCTCCACTTCCTTCTGCCTCCTCGCCTCCTGCTTCCTGGCAGCCGTTCTGCAGCCTGGAGGGAGGAGGCGCCACCTGCTGCATTTCCTTGATTTGATTCTGAAGCCGGGAGATCTCTGTGCTCATCTCGGCCCTGTCTCGATCTGCTTTCTCGCAGGTCACTTGGTGGACGCTCTCCATGGCCAGAAGCTTGGCCATCAGTTCCTGCCTCTCCTGGTCACGCTCCCTTTCCAGCCTTTCGAGCCGCTGGTTGGCCAGCTGCTCCGAGACGCCTGCCTGGCACAGGACCTGCTCACGGTCCTTCAGCTCCCTTTCGTGGCTGCTTTTCAGCTCAAGTATCTGGTTGGACAGTAGGCTTTGCTGACTTTCCGACACATTTCTTAGATCTTTCAGGTCGTTGAGTAGCTGCTCTCTCTCAACAACCATGCTATTCAAGTGTTCTTTGTATGTTTTCTCCAGCATCTCTCTCTCCTGGGTCAAGACCAGGGAAGTTGCTTTCTCCCTCTGGAGAGTCTCTTTAAGCTGCTCCTGGGCTTCGGCACACTCCTGGGTGAGCTCGTCCTTCTCAAACTGCCACTGAGACCTCTCCTCGCATTGCTGTTCCAGGAGCTCCCTCAGCTCTTGGCGGTAGTGCCTCTCCAGGCTCTGCAGAGCATTTTCGCATCTCTCAGTGACTTTCTGACAATCAGCCTGAAACTGGGCTTCTATCTGACAGGTTCTTCTATTACACTCAGTTTCCATTTTTTCCCTAAATGTGGTCAACATACAGCATTACTGAAACGGACATCAACTCCAGAAGCAAACAAACAAGCAAAACATTTCCCATGCATGAAAGGAGCTGCCAACCAAACAATTTAAGTACTTCCTAAAAATAGTTTTCACTTATGCCTCTGTGATTCATTTATACTGAGAAGGGATCTCATTTCTGACAGACAAGACCAGCAGCCATAATTCATTTAAAAGACTCAGTACTTAAATCTCTCTACATTTAGAAGAAAACTTTAGAAAAAAAAAAGTTCTTTGGCATACTCCTGGATGTATTTGTTTTTAGATTTTTAACCAAAAACTTAAACTGATATTTTAGGGTAAATGATCGAATGAATTTATATTCCCCTAACTTGGGGAATATAAAAAAAAAAATCCTTTTAATTGTATACATTGAAGGATAGTAATCATATAAACAACACATTTTAAGTTCATTGTGCTTTCGCCTCCTATTTAATGAAGTAGAACTGAGGTCATCAGAGTAAGAAGCGGCAAAGCCTTCATATGTACCTGAGATTTTATGCAAGTGAGGTAAGCACAAAGCCGTGTTTCATAACTCTGGGATGAAATGTAACTTTGCCCAGAATCTAGGTTATAAATAGCCTTTCTTAGAAAACAACAGGCCTGAACTAGGAAGGAATCACATTTGCGACAATCTTCTCCTCATTTGTTGTTCTTAAAGATACAAGTCTGAGCCCTGGCCGGGTGGCTCCGTTTGGGGCATCATCTTGTGCACCAAAAGGCTGCAGGTCTGATCCCCAGCCAGGGCACATACCTTGTGGGTTGATCCCTGGTCGAGGCATGTACGGGAGGCAACCAATGGGTGTTTCTCTCTCACACTGACGTTTCTCTCTCCCCCTCCCTCTCCCTCTCTCTCTAAAAATCAATAAAAACAGATCTTCTGGTGAAGATTAAAAAAAAAGATACAAGTCTGATACGAGGCATACTTTCCTCTTGTAAAAGAAAAACAGTTTCAATGACCCCAAGGAAGGCTTATGTCTGAACAACGGCAAAACAGGTCGAAAGACTAAGAATCTCGTGAATCAAGGGGCTACTGTGCCTTCTGATTTATCAGAGTCTCCTTAACTGACCGGAACGTCCGGTGCCTGTGACAGGCAGCACCCCAGGTTGTCCCATTTCCCCCCTTTTCTTACCTTCCCTCTTGAAGTTCCCTTTGGTGTTTTTCCAAGAGCTCTTTTCGCAACTCCTCTTTCTCAAGAGTGTGCTTCTCCACCAGGCTTTTCAGCTGCTCCTGGTGGAACTGCTCTAGTTCCTGAGTCAAGCCCCTCACCTTCTCTTCTGTCCAGGCGCCATTTCGAAGGAGTCCTTCCCTGTCTCGGTTCCAGCTCTCCTCCGCCTGCTCCAGCCGGTCCTTGAGCTCCGTCTCATGTTCCAGCCTCAGCCTCTCCTGCAGGAGAGTCTTCTCCTCCTCCCACTTCACCTGCAGTTGTTTCTTCTCCTCCTCGTGTCTGCAGTTAGTCGTATGTTGTGCCTCCTGGAGCACCGCTGCCTGGCCCTGAAGTTCCGCAACTTCATTTTTAAGGTCACTTATTTGTTTTTCCAAGACGTGCACTTCATTCTCATGCTTCTGCTTCATGCTCTCCTGCTCCCTGTCACAGGCAGCCTTGACTGCATCCAGCTGCTTTTCATAGTGGTGCACCTGAAGCCAGAAAGCGAGACCGCCGCCAAGTTATTCAGCTCGAGGCCATGGAAATGTGATGGGGCAGAAGTACTTTCTTTCCTACAATACGTTATTCAGTTTTCCCATTTTCTTTTAAAGTAACAATTCAAAAACACATTAAATAAGATTAAATCAGGCATGGTTTGCTTTCCTTTATTTTAACTTGGTTGAATTTTATTAGTTTCTGAACAACTCTATTAAAACTAACCAGACCTTCACATAGATACCATTTGTCTTCCCAGGCATCCTTTCCAACTGCAAACTTAGGGGCTTACCATACTTAATTAAATTCATATATTTATTGAACACCTATCAGGCATTCAGCAAGCCTCGTGGGGACATAAAGTTGGGTAAGACATAGTCCCTGCCATCAAGGAGAAACCTGTCTAGATGTGGTTATGACAAATACAAAGAAGTATACTACAAGGCAGAATAAAAAATATAAAAGGCATGAAAAAAAGAGCTACAATGTAACCAGGGAATTCAAAGGAGGGGAAAAAAATCACATTTGGTGGGGGAAATTCAGGAATGGGTTCATGCAAGAGGTAATATTTGATATTAAACTCTGAAGGGTAACTAGACTTTTGAGAGATAGAAATAACATAGCACGTAATAGTATGAGCCAAAGAGCACAGTCTGATGAAAAACAGCAAACTGCCTGGTTTGACTGGAGGATAAGGGAACTCAAAGGAATGGTAAAAGAGAAAAACGGAAAAATAAATTGAAGCAACAAGGTTAAGGAAGGGTTTTGAAGGCCAACATTCAGAACTTGTATCTAAGAGGTAATTTTATAGCAAAGGGCTTTTTTAGTTTTATCAAGACATTTTTTAACAAGTTGAAAATAAAATAATGGCCTTCAAGTTTATGCTTGCTGGAAAATGAAGATCTTACATTTTGGAGAAACTCTATGAGGAAAAGGCCTTACCTTTGGCCTATAAAACCATCCTGAGGAACTGCGTTTCTGGTAGTCACCAAGACATGAGAGAAAATATATAGAAAGTGCTGCTCTATCGGAACAAAGAACTGAGAATGTACTACATACAAAAGCTTATCAGAACTCAAAGAAATTAGAGAACAGGACTGATAAGAAAGACTTACTTTATCTTCAAGTTCCAGTCTTAGATGACATAAGTCCCTGTGATGATGTTCTTTCATCTGTTCAATGACCAGCTCTGCCTCGATGCTCATATTCATTGGATTGCATTCTTCAGAATCAAGCCCTGAAAATACATGAGATCTGTTGACCCTGCCACATTGGACAATCTGAACAAAATGGATAAATTCCTAGAAATACACAATCTTCCAAAACTGAATAAAGAAGAATGAGAAAATCTGAATGGACAGATTACAACTAGTGAAACTGAAACAATAATCAAAAAAAACTTCCAACAAACAAAAGTCCTGGATGGGATGGCTTCACAGGTGAGTTTTACCAAACATTCAAAGAAGAACACACACCTATTCTTCTCAAACTATTCCATAAAATTCAGAGGGAGGGAAGATTCCCAAGCTCATTTTACAAGGCCAGCATTATCCTAATCCCCAAACCAGGTAAAGACACTACGAAGAAAGAAAATTATAGGCCAATATCCCTGATGAACATAGATGCTAAAATCCTCAACAAAATATTAGCAAACTGGGCCCAGCAATACATTAAAAAGATCATACACCATGATCAAGTGAGATTTATTCTTGGGGATGCACAGTTGGTACAATATCCATAAATTAATAAATGTGATGCATCACATAAACAAAATGAAGGACAAAAATCATATGATCATATCAACAGTTGCAGAAAAAGCATTCAATAAAACTCAACACCCAATTATGATAAAAACTCTCAACAAAGTGGGAATGGAGGGAACATACCTTAACATAATTAGGCCCTATATGACAAATCCNTTGCAAAAAAGCATTCAATAAAACTCAACACCCAATTATGATAAAAACTCTCAACAAAGTGGGAATGGAGGGAACATACCTTAACATAATTAGGCCCTATATGACAAATCCACAGCCAACATCATACTCAATGGGCAAAACTAAAAGTTTTGTTCCCTTAAGATCAGGAAAAAGACAGGGATGCCTACTTCCCCCACTCTTATTCAACATAGAACTAGAAGTCCAAGCCACAGCAATCAGACAAGAAGAAGAAATACAAGGCATTAAAAATAGGAAAGGAAGAAGTAAAACTGTCATTATTTGCAGATGACAGGATATTATAGACACAGAACACTAAAGGTTCCACCAAAAAACTACTGAAACTGGTAAATGAATTCAGTAAAGTAGCAGGATACAAAATAAATATCCAGGAATCAGTTGCATTTTTATACACCAATATTAAACTATTAATAAGGAAAACTAAGAAAACAAGCCCATTTACAATTGCATCAAAAAAAAATACACACTAGGAACAAATTTAATGAAGGATATAAAAGATTTATGCTCATAAAATTATAAGACACTGAAGAAAGACAATGAAGAAGATACAAATAACTGGAAGCATATACTGTGTCTATGGATAGGAAGAATTAACATCATTAAAATGTCCATACCACCCAAAGCAATCTACAGATTCAGCGCAATTCCTATCAAGATACCAATGGCATATTTCACAGAACTAGAACAAATATTCCAAAAACTTAAATGGAACCACAACAGACTTCGAACAGAAGCAGCAATCTTGAGAATGAAGAACAAAGTTGGAGGAGTCAGGCTATCTAATACTGAGCTATACTACAAGGCCATAGTAATTAAAACAGCCTCGTACTGGCATAAAAACAGATATATAGATCAATGGAATTAGAATAGAGTGCCCAGAAATAAACCCAAGCCTCTATGGTAAATTAATAGTTGACAAAGGAGGCAAAAACATACAGTGGGGTAAAGACAGTCTATTCAATAAATGGTGTTGGGAAAATTGGACAGATACGTGCAAAAAAATGAAAGCAGATCACCTTCTTACACTGCACACAAGGATAAACTCAAAAAGGATTAAAGACTTACATGCAAGACTCAAAACCATAAAAATCCTAGAAGAAAACGTAGGCAGTAAAATCTCAGACATTTCTCATAGCAGTATTTTTTCTGATATATCTCCTCAGGCAAGAGAAACAAACAGAAACAGACTCATAGATACAGAGAACAGACTGACAGCCTCTCAGAGGGGAGTAGGGGGTTAGAGGGCTGGGTGACAAAGATAAAGGGATTAAGCAAAAAAATAAATAACCTCATAGACACAGACAACAGTATGGTGATGACCAGAGGGAAAGCGGGTGGGGGGGGGTGGTGAAAGTGGGTAGAGGGGATAAATGGGGGTGAAAGGAGGCTCACTTGGGGTGGTGGACACCAATACAATATACAGATGATGTATTGAATTGTACACCTGAAACCTACATAATTTTATTAACCAATGTCACTCCAATAAATTCAATACAAAATTTAAAAAAACAAACACACAAATTAGCTAGGGGCAATGGGGCAGGAGAATAAAAGACCAGCATACTTGCCGCTATGCCTTGAGGTATTAATTTCATGGGTCAAGATATCCAACTCACTATTCAACATTACAGAAGATTATTGTAATATTAATTCCTGTAGAATAGGTGGAGTCCCCACCTCAAATTACTGACTCAGACTTTAAAATAATCAATAGGGAGGGCTTATGGGAGGAGCTAGGGCTATGGGAACAGTTCTCACACTATACAAAATTGTGATAACCCTACAGGAAGAACTCTGTGTTTATATAATAAAGCTCTATGGTTCTAATTTCCCCTTCCTTTAACTTCCTTTTCCCCTTATATAAATACCCCTCCCGGTCGGTACACAGACTCGTGTGTGCACGTGGCTTGTCATGCACTGGGTCGCAACTTTTTCTTTTTCCTGAATAAATCTTTTTTGGTGATGAAACACCCAGTCAATATTATTTTTCAGTCGGCAAAACAAATAGGGCATAGTTTAGGAACACAGATATAGGAAGTCTGGGGGAAATTTTCTCAACTCAACCATATGAGTTCACCTTTGCAACTGCCCATGATGGTGACTGAGAGGGACATTGAAATGTAAAGTATTAAGTTGGGGGCTCAGCTAGTACATAGACAAAATGATTATATCTAATACTATGTAGAAATCTCTTAAGGCAGGGGACTCAAAAATGTTTCTCGTGTGAGGGTACACAGGCAGATGAGAGAAAGGGCATAAATCCAGCATCTGGAATTGATGATCTTGCTTTGAGTTTTTGCTTCGTACATCATGGCATATCCCCAACTGGTAAGTGATACTTGGGGTGTCAACCACTCCAAGATGGTACAGCTTCATGCACCCATGAGGAGAAACCCCAACACTTGGTCATCTATGGAAAAGTCCAGAAAAGCTTCTGAAATGTATCATACTGTCACCTGGGCTCCATCCTTACACTACAGTAAGGCTACAGACGTAGAATCAGAGGAAAGGTCTCATTAAGCTCTTTTGTCCCTTCTCCATATAAATTCTAGAATTTATTTATTCTAGGATAAATAGGTACTTATAAGGACCTGTACTCCAGTAATAAGTAGCAGTGGACAAAACTATTTATAACAGGAGAATTTATTATGAGTCCTTTCTGAAATTCAAACTCAACACACTGGAAGAAAGAGGCAGGAGACCAGGAGGGAGGAAAAGAGCTGACAATGAGTAGAGGACGGTTCCCTAACAACTCTGCCTTCCAACCTTGCCATTCAAAATCTTCCTCAAAGACACAGGTAACCAACACATTTATTTTATTTGTTGTTTTGCAGAGGAAATGCAGACAGTTAGCACAGCCAGCATAAGAAAACCAAATTTTGTGGTTTCTGGCTGGTCCACTCTCCAAAACCATCGTCATACCAGTCAGGCACTCTTTTAGAAAGGGAGGAGTCAGCAATAGCTCAGTGTCTGAATTCACACTTCCAAGGCCTGGATTCTCAGACTTGTGGCCAGGATTATTTTGTTTTTTGTGTGTTTTTTAAACAAAGCAAATATCTTTGTGGTTTGATTTTTCCATTCCTTTATTGTTGCATATCAAAATCAGATAAAAATATTCTCACAGAGGCTTCAAGAACAAATGAAAACACTGACCGCAACGAAATAGCTCAAGAAAATAGTATTGCCAAAGTCTTTTTCTGTTGTTATTGTTGCCAAAGTTTGTCCATTTTACATTCAATCATGGATCAAAAAGAAAAGTCAAAGGCAGACTCTGAAAAGCTAGCGTCTGAATGGCTTACCCTGGTCAGGTTCAAGGCAACCACTGTTAACATCAAGTTCTTCCGACAGTGGGTTCTTCAAGGAAAGTCTGAAAGCTTTGCCTTGTGTACGATATTCTTCCAGCTCGGACTGGAGTTCATCCACTTGGTCTTGTAATACCTGGAGTTTAAAAACCAACATGAGTCTTAGATGTGACGCCAAGCAGCAAAAGAATAAATTGGACATCATCAAAATTAAAAGCTTTTGTGCTTCAAAGGATATCATCAAAGAAAGTAAAAAAAAAAACAACCTGCAAAATGGGAGAAAAGTTTTTTGCAAATTATATATTTGATAAGGGACTTGTAACTATATAACATATAATAATATATAATATATAAAGAACTATTAAAATTCAATAATAACAAGACAAATAACTCATTTAATTATTCGGCAAAGGGTCTAAACAGTCATTTCTCCAAAGAAGATATACCAATGAGCAAGTGAAAAGGTACCATCATTAGTCATCAGTGAAATGCAAATCAAAACCACAATGACATACCACTTCACAGCCACTAGAATGGCTATAATAAAAAAGACATACCATAATAACTACTGACAAGGATGTGGAGAACCTGAAACTCTCATACTGGTGGAAATGTAAATTGGTGCAAACCCATTGGAAAGGTTTGGCAGTCCCTCAAAAAGTTAAACAGAGTGATCATATGACCCAGCAATTCCGCTCCTCGGTATGTACCCAAGAGAAATGAAAGTATATGTCCACACAAGAACTTGCACACAAATACTCACAGCGGCATTATTCATAATCTTGAAAACAACCCAAATGTCCATCAACTAATGAATGGATAAATAAAATGTGGTATAGCCATATAATGGAATATTATTTAGCACCTGAGAGAAATGAAGTACTGATACAAGCTACAACGTGGATGGACCTTGAAAACACTATGCTAAATGAAGCAAGCCAGATACAAAGAACCACATATTGTATGATTCCATTTATATGAAATGTAAAGAAAAGGCAAATCTATAGAGACAGAAAGTAGGTTATTAGTTGCTCAGAGCTGGGGTCATGGGAGAGAGAAAAGCAAAGTGAAATGGGAGTTTTTTTTGGGTGATGAAATGTTCTAAATTTGATTATGATAATGGTTGCACAATTCTGTGAATATGCTAAAAAACAGTGAATTGTACACCTCAAATGGAAGAACTGTATAGTTATGAAAAGCTTTCAAAAAAAAAAAAATAAAGAAGTGGGTGGATTTGGGGAATTTTTGGAGATAGAGCTGACAGATTTTACTGATGACATACTTAACTTTAAAGACATATAAAGAAAACACCTCTATTNTAAATAAATAAAGAAGTGGGTGGATTTGGGGAATTTTTGGAGATAGAGCTGACAGATTNAAAAATAAAGAAGTGGGTGGATTTGGGGAATTTTTGGAGATAGAGCTGACAGATTTTACTGATGACATACTTAACTTTAAAGACATATAAAGAAAACACCTCTATTTGATTAGAGCCAAGAGCCAAAATTTAATTATAAAAGTGGCATGAATGTTTCATTTCTTTAGTCAAGATATACATATAAACTTCCTGAGAAGGCAAACTATAAACATCCTCAAGAGGAGGTGCTGTTTTCCTCATTTCTGCACAATTACAATGTTCATCTAAAGCAGTCAGAACTCAGTTATGCTTACTTACCTTGTTAGAATAAACAAGTGTTTGTGGTTTAAGAAAACCAATTCAAATACCCAAGCTAAAAAATCCAAGATTTCTATTATATATATAAGGATTTTTTTTGTCTCTTCAGGTAGAAATTTGTAATGACTTACTAGCTAAAGATTTGAGTGGTTTCTGCTTTATTTGCATTTAGTAAATAAAGGAATGTAATCAGAAAGAAACTCCCACAGGACAAAAGCAAACTACATCAGGTTAGGTCTGTAATGATCAATCAGGAAGAGTTAATTTTGGAATATGCACATCAACATGACCACATATTCCTCTACTCGGAATAAAACTATATTTTTCTGTGAGCACCAGTTGTTTCCAACCTAGATAAAGCAGTCTTAAATGCAGTATGTATGATTCCCTAATATTTCAAGATACTTAATAATAACATTAATACCTAACACTTGGGTTAAGTGCTTACAATATCCCAGGCTCTGCTCTAAGCACTTTCCACGTAGACACTCACTGAATCTTTACAACAAACCTACCCTCCGCCTACTAAGTTCTCTTCACTCACTCACCCTGCACTGCTGCTCATACTCATTTCTCATCTGCGTCAGCCTCTCTTCTTGCAGAAAGAATTCAGCACTGCTGGGATCGAGGTCACCAAACTAGAAAAGGAAAAACAGAAACTGTCATTTTTCCCAACTGCCCTTCTCTGACCTATAACATACCAAAGGTTCCAGTTTCTGGTGTTCACCCAGTCTCTTGAGTACGAAAGGAATGTGACATTTAAGCAGGAACACCACCAACTGGATGATGGGAAGAACATTCTAGAGGGATGTGTTCAACTAACACAGAGACCACTTCTCAGTGCCCTGCAATGTTTTCCTCACATACACCCTCTTAATGAACTCTCTGCAGAAATGACTGCTTCCGTTAGCCACCTAAATCATTCCCTAATAGGAATTTTCTCGGTGGCATTGCTTCTGCTCTTTTGGGTAAACTACACTTTGGGCTGCGTCTCAGGAAGTCACATTTAAACAGATTTACCTTTTCTGCTAACACATTTTCCAAATTTCGTTGAAGTTTGTTTGTCAGATTCTCATACTCTGCCAACTTCTCAGCATTTTCCAGCAGCTCATTTTCTAGACGACTGTTTTCCTGAAGAAATTTAGGGAAATTAAATAGGCACAGATTAAAAAATAAGAAAACTGTTGTGCCATTTTATATGAGGCAAAAATCAGTGCTGCAGATTGAGAATTTGTTCATTTTTGAGTTTCAGATTAGACAAAAGTAAATATTTAAAAAATGGACATTTATCTTATAATCTAAAATCTGCCTCCTCTTTCTTTCCAATCTTACAGAATTGTGCCATCCAATATGTAGCCACTTGCAGTCACACATGGATACTGAACACCTGAAGTATGTACAGAATAGCACACAGGCCTGTAAGTGTAAAATACACACCAGATTCCTAAGAGTTAGTGCAAAAACATAAAATAGCTCAATAATAATTTTTGTACACTGATTACATCAAAATGATAATGTTTGGAGATATTAGCTTAAATAAAAATGACTTAAAATTAATTTCACTTGTTCCTTTTTAACCTTTTAATGGGGCTATTTGAAAATTTGAAATTACATGTATGGCTTGCATTATCTTTCTAGTGGACAACATTGCAGCAGAAAATTTAATGACATCCAAAACATTTTCAACATATATTAAATGAGAGAAAACTGGTTCGTTCAGCTAACAGCAAAAGAGAAGTCAGAAAAACTACAAAAAGTAGAATAACCCTAAAATCAATTTTTATTTAGTGGTTTTAGAGCTTGGTTTATATTTAATTTACAATTTTATTTTGGTTTAAAGATGTAAAAGTTACACACATATAGGTTTTTCATAATTGGTATATGTTTAAGTTATTATAATAAAATAACACATAAAATGAAGTCTACAAAGGGTGGATTTTTACCCCTGCATATATAATACTTGTTAGAAAGACTTCCACCCACATTTGTTAAAATATATATATCTATAGAATCACACAGACGTGCCATTCGACCTATTTTCTATTCCAATGTTAAAGGCTGATTGGAAGAACAGTATTTTCAAAGTACATTCTGCCAAAAGAATATAGAGCCAATATGTTAATACATTCTTGTTCACACCCTCTCACAGCAATATGAAGTAAAAAAGAATGTGCGTGAAGCATTTAAAAAATACTACCTTCCCCCCAAATGCCAATTCTACAACTCTAACCTTTCCAAGTACGTCTAAATTTAGATGTTAAATAGTGAGAAGCAATCTCGGTGTGTGAGGCCTGTGCTGGTGCTCTAGACACTGCGGAATCAGGTTCTGTTACTGACAACAGGGAATGCACAGTCTGGACCGTGGGGAGGGAGTTAGATACGCATACAATGACCTATGATGCAATAGAAAATTAAGCTATCTCTGGCAAGGACAAAGTAAGTGAAATGGAAACAAAAAAGGAATTTGGCCCGCAGTGTTGGGGAAAGCGGTGAAGGAGCACAAAAGCCCACTGAGGAGCCGGGCTGATGGCGGTTGCAGTGGGGTTGGGAGCAGGACACGGGGGGTTGCTGGCGGTTCCTGGCTACAAAGGCCTGACAGCCCCATTTCAGGGGCCCTCAGTGCTACCCCACTGCACCCTTACAAAGGGTAACAGCACGATTGTAAGTGTTCTTTAGTAAGGTCACTCTGGTGGCCATACGGAGGTCGGACAGGTAGAAGAAAGGCTGCACATCAAGTCCACTGAGAAATCGTGATGAACTCTGCACCTATTCAGACACAGCCTGTGGAAACGGAGAGGAAGTGGACACAGCTGAGAGGCACTGCACAGCATCAGCAAGACCTAAAGCCCGACGAGCGAGGATGACTGGGGATCTTAGTCCCCTGTGACGTACAGCACGTGGTGGTGACAGAGAGTAGGGAGCAAATTTGAGAGAGGAAATAGTTTGATGGTTAGGAAGCAAGAATTAGCTCAATTTTTGATGTGTGGAGTTTGGGAACCTTTCATAACCTCAACAGTAGTGAATATTCCACATGTACCAACTACCTTCCAGACACTGTCTGTGAATCGTCTCATTTAATGCCCGTATCTAGGCAGCGGGGTAAGGCTAACAATGGTGCCCATCTTGCATATTAGGAAACAGGTCTGGGTGCCCTGATCAAGGTTTTCCAGTCAGTAGTGGTATCCAGGTTGGAACCAGGCAGCCTGAGACCAGAACCCTCGTCCCCGCTCATCCCTGGACTACACTGTACCACAGCATCTGGTGTCAGAGCCCAGGAAAGACAAGGATCACTTCCTCTACGAGGTGTGGGGAAGGAGAGGATGTGTAAGGGAAATGGCACATTTGGAAGCAGGGAAGCAAAGCTGACGGGCTCTGTGTGGCAGGAGACAAGGCCATCTGCTCAGAGCGAGGGGGGTGGGGAAGGCAGGGGAGAGCATCAGCCTGAGGACCAGTGCAGCTTTGGGGGGAAAAAACAAGACACTAAACACCACCGTTGATGAACCAGAAGCCTGGATACCCCTGAAATCAAGATCCCGGGGTGGGGCTCTGCTACGTCTGGGTCATGACCCAGCGGGGTGCACTTTTGGGAACCTGTGACTGAGCCCTGTGCAGGCCTCTCACACAGCTGCGGCTTCCCCAGCAGGACACAGACCACAGAACCAACCGGAGGATTACCTTTAAAGAGAGGGCAAGGCGGTCCCGGACGTAGTTCTCTTCCGTTTTTGCCTTTTCAATTTCCTGCTCAAGTTCCGAACGCTGCTTGCCCACCTGCTGCATGATCTGCTCTCTCTCCTTCCGGAGTTCATTCTTCAAGGCTGCTATGCGCTCCTTGTACTCTTCATCCAGTTTCCTGTGAGAGGGAAAGACCGACAAGCTGCCATCAGAGCCCTGGGAGATCCCTATGTGGATTCACCAAAAATGGAAACAGAGTCAGAGAGGAGAAGCCACTTGAGAAAGTATCTAGTGCATCCTGCTTTCCTTTAGGTTTAGCAAGACCCCACTCACTCCAGCCAGGTGTGGCCAGCAGGCAGGCTGAGCCCGCGGCTCTGCGCCAGGGTGCTGGGCAAGGAGGGGCCCGCCCCTACCAGTCGCACCTGAGGTTGTATTCATTCCGCCGCTCTATGGCCGCATGGTGATCGTCCACTTCTGAGGCCATTAGAGACTTGAGCTTCTCAGCTTTGTCCAGATCTGACCGTAGCTTCTCTTTTTCTCTGACCACTTGATCAACACGCTCCCTAGAATCAGAAATAGACCGAGTTAAAGGGAAACTGTTTCTAAGCAACAAGTAGACCCAAAAAGACTCTCATCTGGCTTGCTTCAATACAAACTCAAAACCAAGACAACTAAAAACCTTCCAAAACAAAGACATTCCACAGCTCCCTTCAAAAACCTATGTGCACATTTAACCTCTCCCTCATTTTCACAGCACAGAGATGATGGCAGATTAGCCACATTTGCGTATGGAATGAAAGAGGGTATGTCACAGGCATCTGAATGACTTGCTGGACAAGTAGAAAAGAGAATGAATGGAGCAGGTGAACCTTCTGCCCAACTCACAGCAAATGCCGGATCTCAGCTTTAAAGCTGGCCAGAGCTGCCTGGTGAATGCTGTTCTTGGTGACCAAAAGTTCATTTTCAAGGGCCAGGGTCAATTCTGTCAAGTTGACATTTCCATCAAGGCTGAAATCCAAGGCCTAGAAACCAAAACAAGTTCAGGAGAATCATAAGTTCTATCCTCCGAAAGCAGAAAATGAGGGTTAACCCAGAGAGCCAAATTCATAGTCTAGAAGACGGATGATTACATTTCTTTAGTGATTGCCAAGGAATAGTCTTCAGTCCAGAACATGACTAAGTTCTCTTTAAGGAAACCATAACATGGTTATTTATGTTTTTACAGAAAATGCTATCTGGCACTTTAAACAAACACAGTGGTATATTTCTAATCCTTACCAACCAGAGATCAGTTAAGAACATTTCTCTCTCTTTTTTAAAGCTGTGGTACATTTACACAATGGAATACTACTCTGCCATAAAAAGGAAGAAAATTTAACCCTTTGTGACAGCATGAATGGACCTGGGAACATTATGCTAAGTGAAATAAGCCAGTCAGAGAAAGACAAGTACCATATGATTTCACTCACATGTGGAATTTAATGAACCAGCTGAACTACCAAGCAAAATAGAGACAGACTCATAGAGAGCAGGCAGACAGCTCTTGAGGGGAGTGCTGGCGGGGAGGGGAGGGATTGAGCAAAAAAGAAAAAAAAAGAGAGAGAACGCTGGACGGGGACAACAGTGTGGTGATTGCAGAAGTGGAGGGGGAGGGCTGGAGAGGAAAGAGGGTATAGAGGGGCTAAATGGTAATGGAAAAATAAAATAAAATTTTAAAAAAGAGTCTTTCTCTTATCAATTTAGGGGTTAAAAACATGGACAGTAGTTAGCAACAGATTCCTGGTTAAAGTGGGTAGGCAAAGTTACCTCTTATTTCTGAGGTTTTGTGAACAGAAGTATCATTAAGGAGAAATCAAATCAAATCACAGTTTCAAAAAAAACCTGGAGTTTTTCAACCCTTTCCCGATTTGTCATTTTTCTGCCATTTTTGCTGCCACACCTTCAGGACCTCCTGGCTGTTCTCAATGCCCTCCTCCTGCCAGGTGTCGAGGATCCTCTCCACCGACGCGCAGCCCATCCCGTCATCCAGGCAGGAGAAGACCCGAAAGCCGATGGTACTGGTCATCGCCGACGGAATCGTACGTCGCCCACTCTCATCGAAAGACTGGAAGGAGAAAGAGACTTGAGCGCGCTCAGGCATTTCCACAAGATGCTGGTGAAGGCGCAAACTGGTCAGTCCTGACGGCAGGGAGCAGATGTGTTTCTCCAATTCACACTGCCGGGGGGCAAAGTCCCGCAGCCCCTTCGGTCTCCTTCTCCCAGGGGAGCCAAGGACGCAAAGCCTGTCAACAACCACCGCTCTTGCCAGAGATGAGACGGGTCTCTGCTTAACACCGGCTTTCCCTTTCGGCTAACATTAAGGGGCACAATTAGGGGTCTTCCCGCCCGTAATTGACGGTCGTTTCTCAAACCCAACTTTTCCTTCTTAATGGTAAAGTCTTTCTTAATCTTCCTTTGCTTCTTCCTCCCCCGTATTTTCCTTCAGACAACCGATGACGTCATGAAAAAGCAGTCACATGGGCTTGCCTTCTACTTACAAAGACACCGCTTCCCGTCTGTCCCTTACCTGCATGGAGAGATGCCTTTTCAACTGTCTGTACGGAGTCGATGCGGATGGCGTGAGGGATTTCCCATGTTTGAACAAGCCGTAGAAAAAGTCTTCTACACTCATGGTCCCGTCAGGATCAAGATTATGGAAGACTTCCTCAAGCACCTAGAAAAGGGTAACCATGTATTTTAAATGTTTCACTCAAAATAGCACAAGGCCCAAAGTACACTTCTGGCCAATAGAAATTGGCACCAATGTTGATCGCAGGAATCTAGAAATAGAACATGTCCCTTTATTCTAATGTCACCAAATTTATTTTCCTTTTCAGTAATAGGTCCTTCCACCTCACACAAACTAAAAAAAAGTCCAGTTCAGCACCTTCATAATCTTTACAAATTATCGATTAACTGTATTTGCTTTTACTCACACTCTTAGAACAAGTAATTTTTCTTTTAAAATCCTCACTGAGGATATGCTTTTATTGATTTTAGAGAGAAAGGAGAGGAGGAAGGAGGGAGGGAAACAGAAACGAGAGACACAGAGAGAAGGAAACATCAATGTGAGAGAGAAACATCAATTGGCTGCCTCCTATATACTTCGCGACCAGGCATCAAACCTGCAGCCTAGGTATGTGTCCTAACTGGAAACTGAACCCAAAACCTTTTGGAGCATGGGATGGCACTCCAACCAACTGAGCTACCCAGCCAGGGCTAGAGCAGGTTAATTTTTAATGTTACTACACATTATTCTCACAAGTTAAAAAGTTACTTAAAAAATATAAAGATACAGCTTCCTAGTATTGTAACAGTAGAAGTTAGCTGGACATGGAGCCATTGTACTGTGGTGACTCTACATAATATTGTAGTTATATTAAATTTTTGACATTAGGATGTTAACACAGAGAATCTGGTCTGGGACAGATTGCAATGATCTAAGAGTTTGGGTCTGAAGCCCATGACTTGGGATTTAGAATCTTACTTGGAACAATACTGTGTGTTTTGGGTTTTTATTTGTTTTAATGCTTCAGCACCAGAGAAATGAAATTGGCTAAGAAGGATTTTGTGTGTGGGGGATGAGAAGGGTTCCAAGAGATGTAAAGAGCAGGGAATTTTGCCTGGTCATTTTGCAACCTCTGACAGTGGTCAAGTGGTCCTCATCATATAGTCGGGGAAGATGACACCAGACTGCAGTCCCTTCTACAGGCTTGCCTAGGAGATACTTTATTCCCTAGCTCAACAGAGGAATGGAAAGGGGAATAATGTAGATGAATCACTGAAACACAAAACAGGGAGGGGAGCGAAAGACCTCTCCTGCTAGCAGTCGGATTCCTCTTTATTTGGTGGGGGCTAAAATTTTTCTATAGGAACATGCCTCCAAGGAACAAAACAGAAATCACCTGAGAATCTTGTTAAAATGTGGGCTCTAATATAGTTAAATCTGGGGTTGGGGCCTGAGATTCTTCATTTCCAGCAAGCTCTCAGGTGATGCCCATGTTGCTAAGTAATAAACAGGATAAACAACAAATTTACTCTTGCTGCATTAAGCCTACAGTTAAGTGGGTCCATTCTAACAAAGGCTTCTCTGTAACACATCCTCAAATTCTCAATATTCATTTCCTAAGTCTGGACTATAACTAGGATTCCTGTCATCTCAGAATTGTTGAATTTATTCTTCATGTAATTGCCTGAGGCATTTTTTTAATCTCAAACGCTTTTTTCCAATTCCTATCCAATAGGAAACATCTGTTTCCATTTCTATTTATATACTTCCTGTGGAGAGGACTCTAAAACAAGAAAACCATTCTAAAGAGTGGAAATCTCTGGCAGGAGCAACAGTTCCTAATAGAGAATTGTGTGATGAAACTGAAAGGTATTTGGGTCAAGATTCTGAGGTTTCCAAGATCCCTTAGCTTCTCGGTCTTGTTCTTATCAACCAAAAGAACACTTTCTTAGAGGACTAGGGCTTCAGGACCATTAAACTAGAAGTCGCAGTAAAATCTAGCTGTGCTGACTGCAGTTAACAAGCATGTTTTGGCCTTAACCTTAGACCCACACTGCTTGACTTGGTGAACTTGGCCAAATCCATGCATAGCTTCTCGATTGCCTAAATCCATTCTACCCATCACCTGATCCATTCAAAGTGAGTCCTGCCAGTTATTGTACACAGGGGGGCAAATGGTGAATGAAAAGTGTGTGGATTCAGAAGCGGGTGGATGAGCAGGGTTGGGCTCAAAAAAATACAGGTCAACTGGGCAACTGGGGAACCCCCCACAGCCTGTGCAGGAGCCGAATCCAGAACCCCGAGGACATTCTTACTCCCCGTGATACACCAGCCAGGTCTCTGGATGGTTGATCCCCCAATGCGTAAGTTGTGAACTAATGCGCTAGAACAGAGACCACGAACCACAAATACCCACAGAGACCAGGCAGGTGATACACTGAGGCAGGATGGTCCTGAGACAACAGAAAGTAAGCCATTTAAAGCAGTGAACTGAACACGAGGGCATGCCCTGTCCAAAGGCACCAGGCCCTTCTCACTGTCAGCAAAATGGAGCCAAACCTAACTTTTAGAAAGACTTCCTGATTTAAAAAAGTGCAGTAAAAAAGCTCAATTTTTAAACATTGGGCAGGCCAAATAAAACAGCCTTTGGGCCTTGTTTGGCATCTAGGATGACAGCTTGCCATCCCTGCCCTACAGATGTCCTTGCTTCTGGAAAGCAGAGGACAAGTTATAGCCGTAAGCCAGTGACTAGTCCCCGCCTCATGGTAACGGCAAGCGGTAGTGATCTCACTCCCTTTATCTATGAAAATGAGGGGCTGACTAAATCTAAAATTGCTTTCGGTTTTAAAATTCTAGGATTCCAAATTGTATGTTGATGAAATCATCTTGAACTTTCAGTTCCTCTGTGGTCCAGAGTTAATGACACCAAGTACTATAGTATGACATGGTTTTTTAGAGGGGGAAAAGCACTGCATAAAAGCTGTAGTCAATACACAATCCTTTCCTCATCACCAGATCAGGGGAAAATAACTAAATGTGCTACTTCTCCTACGTTCTGGAAACTCCGCCACAGAAGAGGCAACTCCCCGCAAGCGGCTAGAGTTTATTCCAAGAGTTGTTCTTAGATAAATAATCCAAGTTTGTGCAGAATTTCTTGGCAAAACCACCTAAGATTGTACATACTACACTGGTTTATAATTTAGCCTCCTAAATTTAATTTTATGACTCAACAGCCACCACTGAAAAATAAATGACCACCAAGCCATTAAAAAGGTAGTCAAATGGCATAAAACAGTCACATACACAAGGAAGAAGGGAAAAAGGACTTTGCAAGCCAGGCTGCCCAGAAGCTTTTGATGATAAATCTCTTTCTGGTTTAGGAAATAACACTTATCCCCTGAGCAAATAGACAGCATGGTTTCAAATATTATTATAATCAAAGATTCCCAAAGCTACAACTGAGCCTTAACTTCTAAGTCCCTCTAATCCTTATTTTCAGCTCTTTGAAAGGCAAATCTTGGAATTTTTTATATTCTTATGTTTCATAACTATTCCTGTGCCCAGTCCTTCCTGCCTATTCCCTTCTTAAATTTTCAGAAAATGCAAAGCTCACAATTTTACCAAGAGTTTTGGGGAATCCTTCAAATTCTTCTATCTTCAAAACCACCAAACTAGCCTTTTCCATTTCTTCATGACCAGAATATTGTGATGGCTCCTGGCTGGTCTTCAACCAGAGGCTCTCTTTACACCAATATGCCTGCCCAAAGCTGCCCCCACCACCTTCAGCAAGTCAGTTTTTCCTGTATATTACTCAGTCCTTGCAGAACCCGGGGATGATATTGAGATCGCTCCAAGAACCCAATCTCATCAACTTGGCCTTCAAAATATTTCCTCAACTCAAATCCTCCTGCTTAATCCTTCCTCTATGCCTTCCCCACATTCAAGCCCATGACTGCCATGTCTACAAACATAGGGTGTCCCCCAAAAATGTATACACACACTTTGAATAATTACAAAGGCACTGTTGATTAAAATACATTTCATTTTCAATCTTGAGCTATCAGCTGTTAAAGGGTGCATACATTTTGGGGGGACACCCTGTACATCTGATATCATGGCTGCACTGAGCTAGTATCTGACTATGGGGTAAAGTGCTTAGCACAGTGAGGGGCACCCCGTACGGGCTCCGTAGGGGTCAGCTCTTGTCAGTTTTTCTTTTCTACATCATAACACAAGCTCCTCAAAGACAGAATCTTCGTGGCTGACTTCCTAGGAAAAAAAGAGAATGGAGTCTCTATAACATACTGGAGGAAGCCAAAATATGGCTGTTCCTGGCCTGTGGCCCGTTGAGCTTTTATCATGATTATTATTCACGAATAAAAATGTGACGCATGGCTTACCTCTCCATCGACATTCTGCAAACCATACTGCTCACAGATGGAGACCAGCTTCTTTCGGTTCAGGTGACCATCACGGGTAATCCCCAGATCTTCACAAACCTCCTGTAGCTTCTGTTCTATCCAGTCTTGGGGAGGGGAAGACCCACTTTGGGAAGCACTCAAATCATCTGGGTTCCAAAACCTTAGCTGGCCTGGAATGAAAGCATACCTGGTGTTGTCTCCGAAGGGATTGCAAAGAGAGACACCTATTCTCAAAGAAAAAAAAAAAGTGCTTTTTGAAAATAAAACGATGGAAAAAAAAAAGACTATAAATGTTGATTCCATTTTGATTTGCTTCTGAAGCAAGTGCATCAGAACCATTGGTTTTCAGGCTGAAGCAAGAGCAAAGAGGCACTTTTTCTGCTCACTGGCAGTCATCCCCATGTAAGAAGTATTTCCTGTGCAGTCACGCCAAGGTGCTAGTCCTGTTTCATTACAATGGAAAACATGCACAGGCCTAGACTTTGGTGTGAGTGGAAGGGAAGGCTGGTTGAGAGGCATTCTAAAGAGCTTTATACACCCTGCTACAACTACAGCTACCAAGACTTAAGGATCAAACTACTTATTTAAAAATCAAAATGTATCTTCTATTAAAAGTTCTCACTTCTAGTTAAACTTTCCACTTACCTATTAGAGTCTTTAAAGTCATTACTTAAACATGAGATAATTACTGGCACAATTTTGTGTGCCTGGAAGAACTTGGAGGGTTGAGAAGAGCATTTAGTGTTATTTATCCAAGAGATTAAGCCCATTACTGCTGTATCTTTCCAGCTTGGAGACCTAGAGAACATGAGGTAATTGCACTCAAGTACAGTTAACCTGCCAGGGTAGGCTGATCAACGTGCTAAGGTTCTGTCAGCTGAACCACAGTGCCATCTGCTGGACAGAAGATCAACGTGTTTTGATGTATTTTTTTTATGAATTTACTGGGGTGACACTGGTTAATAAAACCATACAGGTTTCAAGTGATGTTTCTTAAGTATATCTAAATCTTGTTGAAAGATAAGGTCCCTATTTAATTCAGGACGGTTCACAGATAAATTTCAAAATCTATATATGAGTGTAACCCATGGTAAACTGCTACATCTTAGTTCCCATATCTTGCATGATGTTAAGGGTTAATATTTTAAAACTATTGAGCTATCGATTGGGAATGAATTTTTGTTGCTATTGTTCTTAAGGTTGCTTCTTAGCTGGCCTCCAGCATGCAAGGCTGTTAGGAAGATGGCTAGAAGATGCAGGAAGGGGAGTGTAGAGATGCCCCTTGAAGGCAGCCCTTCCCTCCCTGACACACGCTCAGTTCCTACCTTCTGCTTCGTATTCCTCACTGCGTTGCGTCTTCCAGTGCTAGAGAAGGCAAGAGAAGAAAATCAGTGTGCTTCCAGAACTCAGTCCGTTTTCCTAAGACCAGATAGCTCTCCGGCTCTGAAACACCCTCTGCGTGAGTTACGTGATTCAGGACCTTCTGGTGCTTTCTCCTCGACCAGCCAAACGAGAGGAGACTCCTGAGAAACACCACACAGCCTTCTGCAGTATTTCACCAAGGAGCTGCCTGTCATACCTGTGGGGTCACTTATTCAACAGCACAATCCGTCACAACCAATAAAACCCCGCCAGAGTCCACCAACCAACGAGGGTTTCTATGCACGCGCTGATGAATCTGTTCTTCAATAAATGTTTACTGGGCGCCAGGTATTATGCTACATCTCTAAAATACAACTACGAACAGGAAGAACATAGTTCTTGCCTGGAGAAGTTTACATGCTATGAAGACATGCAGACAAAACAAAACAAAAACCAAAAAGTCAAACCAGGAAGCACAATACTGTGGTGTACTGAAGGCTACAACGGGGAAGTTCAAGATGCTACGAGGATTCCTAACGGGGATCCTTCAGACTTAGGAGATCCAGATAGACTTCCTGAAAGAACCACTGTCTAAACTGAGGCCTGAAGGATGAGACGGCCAAGTGGAAAGTAAGGAGCAGTTACTATTTGTGGAAGCAGGGAGGCGAGAATGATTCTAGTGTGTCTGTGACACAGTAAGAGGGCAGAGATGCAACCCCAAAACAGGTAGGCTAGAAAGCTCAAGTTAAAGAAAATATACATTGCCAATAAATTACATTAAAAGCAGTGAAATTTATCTGGTCTGGACCATTTTATCCCCTTGTCATGCTATGTTACAACTGGGTCTTTTCCAAGTCACAGCACACAGGTGTGGTTTGAGTTAGTGCACAAAAGCCCTCAGTCAAGGACACAAGTCAGAACCCAAATCCAGGGCTTGCTCCACTGGCCCAAAAGGCACAGGTCTGCTCCAGCCAGTGGCAGCGAGCAGGTCCGCAGTGGCCTTGGCCTCCCCAGCGAGCTGCCTACTCGCCGCCTTTGGGATGTTCTACAACTGTCGCAGGCAATCCCCTGAGAACAGGTGTGTCCCCCCCTTTCAAAGCCCAGCTGCTGTCTCAGCAAAGAGCCAACTTGAGGAATGAGCGGCCTGCTCTCTGTGATGGCGGAACAGTAGTAAGGACGAACTGATTTCTCAGAATCCTAGGATAAGCTCAACAGAAAAATGGGCCTGGTTACCTCCTGTCTCCAGAGCCTGCATTGCTCACGGCATGCAGGGCGCCGCCTACAATTCTTAGATTACACATTGATCTTCAGTAGCTTGAGGTACTTCTTTCAGGCCACCTAAGCACACTTACTCTGCTCCTCTCCACACTCGCTCAGTCTCTCCTCTTACCTGAAGGACAGCTGGCCACCAGGGCATCACAGTTCCATATTTTACTTGGAGACATACTGAAGACAGCACCCGTTCAGACAGTTCCCCAAATTTTGCCACACTAAACTGAAACCACAAACTGGCAATGCCGGGATGGATTATTCTTGCCACACAGGAAAGGCATCAAAAAGCTACAACTCAGCATACGTAAGTTCACTGCAATTCATTCAGGTTACAACTGAAAGTCACTAATACACATGGTATCTGTGGAAACCGAATCAGGGCACAATGTGATTTTGGCTTGTTTGTCTGTGATTACAATTTCATCAGCCCACACTTCCATGTAAAAAACCTCTCTCTTACTGGGAGGATGTCTAAGCCTCTAAGCCTGGTGAAGGTGGGGAGGGAGCAGCGCAGTAAATAGGCTTCTATAGATTTTCCAACATTATTGTTTCTGGGCAGAATTCAACTGTTTTTATATTAACAGTTTTAAGTCAATAAAGCCCATGAATGGAGGCACCCTGCCCCGTCGGTTCTTCCCTATTTATTTCCTCATCTAACAGAGTAAATGACTTAAATGTTTATACTGCTGTGGCACCCCAAATGTGAAAACTCACTCAGGCCCAGCCGGGGGTGGCTCGGTGGTTGAGCATCGACCTAGGATCCAGGAGATCGCGGTTCGATTCCTGGTCAGGGCACATCCCTGGGCTGCGGGCTCTACCCCAGCAGGGACATGCAATGACGACTCTTTCATCATTGATGTTTCTATCTCTCTCTCCCTCTCCCTTCTGCTCTCTGAAATCAATAAAGAAAATTTTTTTTTAAAAAAGGAGAACCTTCCTCCAACCCTTTTAAAAAACAAACAAAAAAACCCCCTCATTTCCCATTATAAGTTGGACACACCTTAAAATAAAATCCATTAAATCCACCTAAAACNGAGCCAACTTGAGGAATGAGCGGCCTGCTCTCTGTGATGGCGGAACAGTAGTAAGGACGAACTGATTTCTCAGAATCCTAGGATAAGCTCAACAGAAAAATGGGCCTGGTTACCTCCTGTCTCCAGAGCCTGCATTGCTCACGGCATGCAGGGCGCCGCCTACAATTCTTAGATTACACATTGATCTTCAGTAGCTTGAGGTACTTCTTTCAGGCCACCTAAGCACACTTACTCTGCTCCTCTCCACACTCGCTCAGTCTCTCCTCTTACCTGAAGGACAGCTGGCCACCAGGGCATCACAGTTCCATATTTTACTTGGAGACATACTGAAGACAGCACCCGTTCAGACAGTTCCCCAAATTTTGCCACACTAAACTGAAACCACAAACTGGCAATGCCGGGATGGATTATTCTTGCCACACAGGAAAGGCATCAAAAAGCTACAACTCAGCATACGTAAGTTCACTGCAATTCATTCAGGTTACAACTGAAAGTCACTAATACACATGGTATCTGTGGAAACCGAATCAGGGCACAATGTGATTTTGGCTTGTTTGTCTGTGATTACAATTTCATCAGCCCACACTTCCATGTAAAAAACCTCTCTCTTACTGGGAGGATGTCTAAGCCTCTAAGCCTGGTGAAGGTGGGGAGGGAGCAGCGCAGTAAATAGGCTTCTATAGATTTTCCAACATTATTGTTTCTGGGCAGAATTCAACTGTTTTTATATTAACAGTTTTAAGTCAATAAAGCCCATGAATGGAGGCACCCTGCCCCGTCGGTTCTTCCCTATTTATTTCCTCATCTAACAGAGTAAATGACTTAAATGTTTATACTGCTGTGGCACCCCAAATGTGAAAACTCACTCAGGCCCAGCCGGGGGTGGCTCGGTGGTTGAGCATCGACCTAGGATCCAGGAGATCGCGGTTCGATTCCTGGTCAGGGCACATCCCTGGGCTGCGGGCTCTACCCCAGCAGGGACATGCAATGACGACTCTTTCATCATTGATGTTTCTATCTCTCTCTCCCTCTCCCTTCTGCTCTCTGAAATCAATAAAGAAAATTTTTTTTTAAAAAAGGAGAACCTTCCTCCAACCCTTTTAAAAAACAAACAAAAAAACCCCCTCATTTCCCATTATAAGTTGGACACACCTTAAAATAAAATCCATTAAATCCACCTAAAACAAATAAAACAGGTTTCTATGGTCTAAGACCACCACTTGGTCAAAATAAAACCTACCAAATCACAAGCAGGGGATGGTTTCTAACAGCACAAACTGACAGGAGAAATGGGAGGAGAAAGAGTATCACTGGGCATGAATAATTAATAAAGGGACCCCCTCTGGGATACAGTTGGAAAATGCAAACACACCTTTGAAAAATCCTTGGTAACAATTCCTAAAGCAACAAGGTGTGCATCTTGCTACATAAAAGTTTATTGCTTACATTTGCTCACCTCTCAATTCATTTTAAAATAGTGAGCAATTAGTTCAGAAGAGCAAGAAGCTACAATATACTGTCTTCAGCATCTCCCTATGAGACTGGGTGCTTGTATCTGATTCAATCCCCAGGGCAGTACTTCCTGGTACCCCCTTTTTCTGATTCTCACCCCTAATAAGAGATGGAGCTGTGGGGGTTACAGCACAGATGTGGAGGAGTACTGCCGGGCTCTGAATCCTGGCTTACCTACCTGGTTGGGTTTGGACAAGTCTCTTAACCTCTTTTGCCTCAGTTTCTCCATCTATAAAATGGGTAGAATGCTTAGAATTGTGCCAGGCACATAATAAGCACTATATAATGTCTTATTTTTACTGGACATGTGTTTATGTAGTACATATTAAATTTATGCTTGCAAATTTTTTTCATTACGTTTCAACTTAAAGCATTCATTCAGGTGGCCCTGGGGAGGTATCTGTTACTCATATCAATTTGTAAGAAAAGTGCCAAGTCTCCAGCAAATATGCACAGAATACAAACAGACAATTTGCATAAGAGGAAACACAATTAAACAAATGTGGGGAAAGGTTCATTTCCACAGCAATCAAAGAAATATAAATGAAAACCAAGGAATCATTCTGTTCCCATTAAATTAGAAAAGTAAGATATGACTCCTATTACCATCAAGGCCATAATTTAAAATAGGCCGTTTATATGTTACTGGCAGCAGTGTAAATGGATATTACCCTTTTAGTAAAGCAAATGGCTTAATGTATCAAAAGCCATAAAAATATTCATACTCTTTGACCCGATAATTTCATATGGCAGTAAAATCAAAGGAAGAATAAAAACAGAGACATAAATACGTGCATTTAGCTTTTTTTTGGTAAGAGTAGAGTACTGAAAACAATTTAAATATTCAACAATGGGGCATAAAAATATAACGATACATCACAATGTAGTCATTAAAAGAATAATTATAAAACCATGTAGGAGCATGGAAAAACGTCTTATGAAATGTTAAATGAAAGACCATAACAAAAGTGCTATCTACACTATGATTACCGCTGTCAAAAATATTTATACAATTAGACAAAGACTGGAAGGAAATAGAGACAATAAAGTAGATACACTTGTTTAACAGACTATGGAAAACAATTTTATTTCCTTTCCTGTTATAAATGTTGTTCATGCAATATAAACAGGTTCAACTTCACTATTTCTTTGCCCACCTGCTGTCAAAATCTCACTAAATGAATT